GCACTAAATACTGGGAGCGAAAAACAGAGGCATGAGGCATGCAAAAATACTACTTACTAAAACAACCCAAGAAAGAAAAAATCCTACTTAACAGAAAGGAATGAAAAAACTCGTTGACATACTTACAGGACATGCTCCAATTAAGTAACATCTAAAAAAATGGGAGATGATCAGATGACCAATGTCGATTACGTATAGAAGAGACAAAACCTACGCAACTGCCCTGTAATAGCTAGGAAAAGGTTATATGGTATATGGAAAACCCGTTCTTGAGCTATAGACATTGGTTAGTTATCAACATCTAGGCTGGTAGAGGAAACCGTTGAACTCATTAATAGGATTACTACCAGGTACGAGAATAGGGTAACCCTCATATGGAGACCTGCTCATAAGGGGCACTATGGCAATGAGGAGGCGGACAGCCTGGCCAAAGAAGGATCAAATACTGCGTTTGTCGGGCCACAACCGGTATTACCCTACTCTCTAAGCACTGCAAAAGAGAGTATAAGTTGCTGGGGCATGAAACAATTCCTTAAAGAATGGAATATGTCCCCCGGATGTAGGCAATCGAAGGAGTTTCTGAAGGAAATCAAACCTAAAGAAGCGAAATGGTTACTCTCTAACTCTAGGAGGGGAATAAGGAGGCTGATAGGTATCCTAACGGGCCATTGCCCCTTNGTTATATATATATATATATAGACATTGGTACCCACAAGGAGAAATTTTTACTCCCTAAAAGAAACTAAAATTTCCAGGAAATCCATTAGCTGAGATCGGTAGAATAGACGAAATTTTGAAGTGGTAAAGAGAGAAATCCCAACGACTACATATTGGAAAAAAGATCAACCAGGTTTTAAGCCTCTGTATTTTTCTGTTTGACACTAAGATTAAAGGAGTCGGCCTTTTTTACGAACCTACGCACTGCTACTAATATTGGTCTATTAAGTAATCTCCATTTTTATCTATCTATAGTTATTTGTTAAGCTTAAGTCTTTTTATCAGATGGACAAATGTTGTTTAGAGGGTCTCGTGTGTATCGTTCAGACATTGATTTTTCTTCTCCTAGGAAATCTCAGCCTCGCACCAACAGAGGATATATTCTGCTGTTTCTTCTACCTAGCAATATGTGCACAAGAGTGTTTCTGCTGTTCCGAATCTATACATTTTTCCCCTCTTACTTCCCCGCCGTTACGAAGGAGCAAACTGGCGGACATGCGAAATTTAAAGTTTATAAGAGGCCTAAACTGTCATTTTTGTGTCTATTCATATGCCTTCGGAGTCTGCAGGGTGCAGTCGGCGTCCTAGGTTTAGTAATTCTGCCGTTAGTTTCTGCAGTCCTTTGATGGACTTTCCCGCGTGTCGGTGTCCTGAAATAAAATCGCGCTAAACCGAGGACCAAATTTTAAATCATTGTCTGATGGGTCTGCGTTTTAGCAGTTTGGTATGCCTCATCGAATTCCCTTGGTCAATTTATCGGCCACCTCGTTGCCTCTCTGCCCTGGTACCCGTGTTTGGGACTAAGTATTCAATCTGTAAATTTGATCTGGTACTGACTATAAATTAATCTCATATTTTACATTTTGCCTTCAACCCAATGCTCTTCCGATTTTTCTCTCGTGTGCAGTTCTGTACCAATGTTTGCCAATTAATTTCTCAACTCCTTCCCATAATCTTCTCTGGTGTTTTATTTTACACTTACTGCCTGGCATCCACATGATAATTCTTTTGTTCTCCCAACAGTCTTTCATCATAAATCAGCTTCTCTGGATTAAATTAAACTACTGTAGAATCCCATGGTTCTTTAAATATTCTTCTGACATATTTAGCCTGAACAAGGATTTCTTTTTTGAAGTCCACTCATGCATCCTTTTGTAAAGTCGTGCGTTTTACGTAACGAAATCTTTCAAAAAATAATTTTAAACAAAAAGAAACATTCCTAAAAACCTTAACTTTATTTTTTTCACTTAAGAGTCCTGTATGTGTATCTCTGCCTCACGGGGGAGACTGAGCTTTGCAAGCAGAAAATCCCATAAATAAAACAGGGACTTAGAAGCACTTTCACTCGCTTGAGGCTTTTCGATACCTGCCAAGCCAGAGTTTAGTATAATGTTTTATACAAACATGATAAAAAAAATACATTTAATAGCGTTCATCACATTGAAAATTGATTCTCTTCAATATAAATTTGTTACAATATATCAGTACTACATATTATAAAAATGTTATCATAATCAGTTAAGAAAAACAGGTTTTGTACATATACATAGCTTGTGTACATCAGAAAATGGTTCATATTATGACAACCATGGCTTCATCAAACACTTATCTGAGATTGGAATCTTCCACAATACATAATCTTCCCATTCATGCTTATATCTTGTTGTTAAATTTATTGAGTCAATGAATGAATATATTTTATGGAACATTCTTCAAAAATTTAAAATATTACTTCTAAACAATAAACCAATAAAATAATAATAATGATAATAATAAAGAAAAAAGTATACATATGTGTAATTTCATTTAAGGCTCGATTTCAAGAACAAAGAAGATAATTCCAGGTTTTAGATTTTCTCATAAACATTGATCTCAACAAAATTGATTCTCTTAAATATAAATTTGTTATAATATATCAGTACTACATATTATAAAAATGTTATCATAATCAGTTAAGAAAAACAGGTTTTGTACATATACATGGCTTGTGTACATCAGAAAATGGTTCATATTGTGACAACCATGGCTTCATCACACACTTATCTGTGATTGGAATCTTCCAGAATACACAATCTTCCCATTCATGCTTATATCTAGTTGTTAAATTTTTTGAGTCAATAAATGAATATATTTTATGAAACATTCTTCAAAAATTTAAAATATTACTTCTAAACAATAAACCAATAAAATAATAATAAAGAAAAAAGTATGCATATGTGTAATTTAATTTAAGGCTCGATTTCAAGAACAAAGAAGTCAATTTCAGGTTTTAAATTTTCTCACAAACATGTATAACTGAACATAAATACAGGGTTTTCAAAAAGTTGAAAAGTATGTTTAATTAAATCTCAAATTTAAAAAAAATTGTTTGTCCATATAAAAAATATATATTTAGTGTTTTATTATGATTATTACTAATCAATATGGATATTAGAATGAGTGTTACGTGTACTGATATATATTGCATTTTCAAATTTTTCTAGGGTCAATTGTTTTAAATTATTAACAGTTTTGTGAGATTTCTCCAATATGCAGACCGAACTGATTAGAAATGACCTAACTCTTTATACATCTAAATCATGAAAACTGATTATTTCTACTTAGTGTAGTTATAAAATGTCATTTGTTTCACTAATTATTTTCCTGTTATAGAAGAAGCAAGTGTGAAATGTAGAATAAAGAATGATAAATATTCATTAATAGCAGAATTATTAGCAGTATGACCTTTGACAGCTGATATCACATTTGATAAAACTATCAGAAACAACTGTAAATATTCAAACGTTTTGTTTTTTATGTTATCGTTTTATTCAAAAAATTAACAGAGAAAAACCTTGCCCAAACATTGATTTTTTTGGCCTTTGAAATTTGTAAATTAATTTGTCTTTCTCACATTGCAAAAAGCAGAATTAAAACGCTTACTGCAGGGCCTAATCCGTCGTGCTATGGCAGATAAACTAAGCTTTTTTAAACAACGTGGAAAAAGGATCTTCGGTAAGATCACAACAGAATGACAATTCTTTAAGTTTTTGTCGAACTTTCGATGATTATATCGTCATCATCAGGGCCTATTTATTATAGGAAAATACAGCAGTTAGAACATATTTTACAATTTGGAAACATTTTTTGTAAAATATTTTCTAACTGCTATATTTTCCTATAATAAATAGGTCCTGATGACGATACAATCATCGAAAGCTTGGCAAAAACTTAAAAATTGTTGTTATGTTGTGACCTCACCGAAGATCCTTTTTCCATGTTGTTCAACAGCAGGTCGATCCATCATCTCTTCTTTAAACTTTTTTTGTTTAGATAATGTTTCTTGACTGTCTAAATGCATTCCAGCATAAAGTTAGTGCTTACTTATTTATTAAACATTTATTAATTAAATATTTACAACTGTAATATACTTGTAATTTTGCTGTTAAAATGGTTAAAATTTTGCTATTCATTTTTTAGGAAATTAATCTTTCTTTTTTTTTTTTTTTTTTGGAAATATTGCCATATAATATTTATTTATTTATTTTATTGATTGTTGTTAATGACTCAACTACTTTATTATAATTATTCAGAATCTCACGATTTCTGAATAACTATCGATTAACGGTCACTAATACTTTAGTGCAAATTAGTGCATTAGTGCAAATGCAACACATACTTTATTATATTTTTAAACTAACTTATAATAATATAATAAACTTTATTTTATCTAACTTTATTTTTTTATTTTATAAATTTCATTTATAAAATTTTGCATTATATGGATCTGAAGACCTCATATTTCAACTCAAAGTTATTCAGATATCGTGAGATGCGGTCGGGTGTGATGTAGGTTTCAGAAAAACATTTTCTTTACCGTGCCAACGTTTCGATCTTTTATTGAGCCCTGAAGATGATCTCAATAAAAGATCGAAACGTTGGCACAATAAAGAAAATGTTTTTCTGAAACCTACATCACACCCGACCGCATCTCACGATATCTGAATAACTATCGATTAACGGTCACTAATCTCTACACATTTCAACTCAAATTTTAATTGTTCAACATAAAAAATTTGACAATTAATTGGTCAAGCGGACCACAAAAGTAGTGAATTAAAAATTTGATTTAGAACAGTATAATGCTTAAGAAATATTAAAAGATTTTTTTTAAATCATTTTTATAACATTTTCGTATTCTAACAATATTTCATCATTCATATTTCAATTCATAATTCTAAAAAATATTTGATGCTTTGTTAATTTGCAGTCAGAGAGTTGTTTTGAACAGTAAAAATGCAAAATAAAAATATATAATTATTGTATTTGTCATATAAATTTACAATTACAGTCCACTAGAAATTAAGATTGACAAGTATTTACAAACATAATTTAAGATGAATAACTCATTGTACATTAAACAAGTGGGAAACTTGCAGTGGTTGCGATCCCGCAGTTGTTGTCCTTATTTCTTGCCATCTTGATGTATCCATCCATTCCCCAGGATGGACCCCAAGAATTTTTCACAAGCCAATAGTCGTCACCTTCATCAGAGGTACCATAGCCGACAACAAGTACACCATGGTCCAACTGTTCTGAACTGCAGTCAGGTTCATAATACACACCTGGAATTATTTAGCCAAAATGATTACTTTTGTTATTATTTATTTGTTTTAAATATAAATTCACCTTCACTGTACTGATGAAAGCTGTCATGACTAGCATCAATTGCAACAGAAATTGGGCCTTTAGTTGCTACCGCTCTTTTTAAAGCGTCTTCATCACCTTCAGAAATATCAACAAATCCAGTATCAGTTGCACCAGAATACTTGGCATCATATCTGCAGTCATCATCCTAAAAGATATTGCATTATGAGCTTTAATATAGTGTATTGCGTATGTATGCTGATATATTCTACAATCAGATATACCATAGCTTCGTAAGGATAAGACTTTTCTGTATCAACTCCTTTATTAGACTTAACATATGCAAACGCATTATCCATCATTCCGCCATTACAGCCATTATTGCCGGCATCACTAGAGCAGTCAATTAGATTTTGTTCACTAAGTGAAACCAATCTGCCTGTCTTCCTATAATGCTGACCTTCCAGTGAACCTGTCTGCAAATTAAATATATTTTTTAAACTTCTAATAGTAAGAAATCTTGTGGTTTAACAAATTTTATCTTTAAGAAATATTAATTAAGTAGTTAAAAATAATTTAATGTCAGTTGTTAACAAGCCAGCAAGTATAGTAGTTTTGTTCATGTAGTAAAAACTGTTTACTTTTTAATTTATTTATTTTATTTACCGCACTAAAGGCCCAGCATGATCCACAAGCTCCCTGGTCTTTGACAGGAGTCACAGCTCCGTGTTTCCTCCAGTCTACAGTTTTTGGAAACTCCACATTCACAGGAGCAACATAAAAGGATCCAACATGTTTAACTCCATTTGATGGTGTAAGAGACTTGTTGAAACCATTCATTACTTGGATTATTTCATGGGGGAGCTTCAAAAATAAATAAAACATTATTTTTCTTATTTAAAAAATGAATTAAATTAAATTATCCATTACCATGTCTGAACGGGAATTTACTCCTAATTTGAATGACACTTTTCCTTTGATATATTTTGCATTGTGCTTAGCAATTTTTTTCTTGTTCTCCATGAAAATCTTCATTCTAAATTTTTCTTCTGTATCTGTTGGATAGTGTTTCTTGTGTTGCAACTGCAAAGGAAAAAAAAATTATTGTACACTGCATTTGAGGACGTTATAATGCCAAGTGAAGAACCTTGAAAAGATTCCATTCTTCTGCAACCAAGTCAAACATGCTTACTGCTTGACCTGCCGCTATCACTCCAGCTAAAACTAATAGGAGCTTCATCTGAAACAAATTCAAGGCAATAGTCATGAAGAAACATATTACATATATATTTACATTTGAAAAAACAAATTGTGATAATTTTGATTTATGTACAGAGTTTGTTACAATCAAATAGTCATAAATTAAAATTCAAAATTATTGAAGAAAATTGCACCTCATGTAGAAATGTTAAATTTCAAATTATTCACATTTGTAAAATCATTAAATGCGAAACAGTGTTTTGGTCAGTTTCCAAATTATCCTTATACATTATTCCTCACTTTTCTACCAGATTTGTTTTGCCAAAAATTAATTCCTGCTTCAAAAACACAAACCAATGGAAAATGCACTAATCCACCACTGAATATGGTTTAATTCCACTGTGCCAGATAGGCAAAACCAACTAGAATAAGCAGGCTAACATGTTCAAAGATTATCAAGCTAGAAATAATATATTACATCGTCAATAAATATTTTTTAAATATTATATTCTTGTAAATCACAATGAATTATATTAAATGGCTTAAGTATTTTTATGATTCATTTTTCAATTTTACTCACCTAATTGATTCAATCTAAATATTACCTTTATTTGTAATTAATAATATTATGTAAAATAAAAAAATAAACAATCATCCCAGTTTCTTTAGTTGTGAACTAGTACTATTTTTTCTAACTTTTTGACTAAAAATTTATAAATAAAATGTGATTCCATACTTTTTACCTAAAGTGCTTAGCTAAGGTCAAATTACAGTGAAATTGTTGCAGTCCTGCTCACTAAAGTTACACTCTGGGGCAATATAAGTTGAAAGATTTTTTTTTCTCTAGTATATTTTTAATCCAAAGAATAAATATTGTACTATATCCTCGACTAGCCAAATCCTGTTTATATGGCAAGATAAAAACATTATCTACTAACAAAGAATTAAAATTTCCAATTTCAAATATTTAACCGATAAATCTAAGATAAAGAAAACAACAGGAAGCGCGACAAATAATTTCATGAAATGAATAAGATTGTTGATTTATGAAAGTGTTTAGATATAAGAACAAGATTTAGAGATATCGACTTAAGATAATGCCCTATTGCATCAGACATCATACCAACAGCAGAAATCTTGATTTTCATCAAAATCGATTGAGCCTGCGTTATAAATAATTACAATTCATAACTTTTTGTACATCGATGCTTCTTGATGGCCAAAAATATTAAATGAGAATTACAAAATCAAGTTGCTCTTATTATATTATTGGCCAGTCAATTATATATATTTTTATGTATGTTACATGTTAAGTTTTTACAAACCAATATAATTCCAAAGCTTTCAAAAGGTTGTAGGATGAATAAAGATTCTAATTAATTTAAACAAATATCTACTTAAGATTCACATGAGGACAAAGCGATAGATAATTGCAACTTAAGCTTAGTTTTTCAATAGAGTAATCTCGACAAAAAAATCTCAATTTGTTTATTTTGCACAATTCTTTTTTTAATGGTGGATTCAGTACAACAATGAATCATGGACGTTGTTTCAAAGAAAGGCATCTCATTGAGATAATTGGACACAATTTCCGGGCAGTCGTATTTTTTATTTAAATAAATTGATTTGTTTTCAAGCGGTTTGTAAAAATTGTAAACGAAACACGAGATAAACGTGGTGGAAAAAAATATTTACTTATAGCAATGCGACCCCATTTAAATTATGTTTAAATATCCATGCTACAAATACAACAAATACATCTGAGTTGAGAACTATTAACTTATTAATTAACTAATAATCAATTATGTTAGTTTTTGTTTGGAATAAAAATTCGCATTAACTTACCATAAAATTAATATTACCAGTTCTTCTTGCTAAACGAGTTCTGGCGCTGCACAGGCAGTTATGATATGTATTGAATCCGACCCAGACGAGTTCCTTTCACATCCCCACTATTTTTTTCCATCTCTTCTCTCTCCCATTATCCTTCTAGGCAAGGATTCCGCAGGATAAGAACAGAAGATTATCGACACATTATATCAAACCACAAATGTTGTACAATCAGATATAAGATAAACGCAGTTCGTCTTTGAAAATCTTAGTTAAAATAATAAGAATTTCGAAATTCTCAGTGTGCTTTGTTGCCTTAAAATACCCAGTAAATTGTACAGCTGTTTAGATATTTTATCTGACAACTAAAATATAAATGAAATTAATTATTGCATTTAACAACTGAACAACGTAAAAAGTGCTGATTGTTGTGTGATTTGTGACGATAAAAGAAATACGCAATTTATTTATTTATGCCCGTTTACTTCAACAATAACAATTTCGAAATTTTTATCGATTTTTTTAATTGTGGATTTTGGAACAAAGATTTATAAATTATATTATAAACTTATATTAAACATAGTTATTTGTTCAAAATATTATCCTTAGATCTAATAGAAGTCCTCGGTTTGATTCTGATTTTCCTGGTACGCGGTATTTTCCTTGTTATTTGGTGGACTACGTCAAATCAAAATTATTAGAGACGTCATAAAATATTTGTCTATAACGCAGTTAGCTCGTCCTCCATTATTACTGTTATCTGCATTCTGTTCCCAGTTCCTCCTTTATAATTTCTTCAATTTAAACTCATTTCTCGCCCCAGTAATATAAAGTTAAATGAAAGATGGCCAAATGTAAGCCTGAGTTTGGACGCTCCTGATCTTATTGGCCCGCCCGTTCTCGCTGCGTTTCGGCGTAAAGCTCGTTTATTCGATAACGCTCAGAAATTTATATTCAACAGATGAAATCGTTTTGCTCATTAGCTTTAGTTGGTACTGGTACCCCTGATTTAGTTGGTATTGAATTCACGATGTAAAATAAGAAAATATGACGCTTAAAATTAAATAATTTATCGACATTTTGTACTCTAATATTTTTCTTTTGCCTTGTCTTCTAATTATTTTTCCTCCTCGTTTTATTTTTCTCAAGGATTGAAAAGCAATACCTGGAGGTATTCTTTGAGGCCAGGTCGTTGTTACTACCTGGACCCAGGTTTGTGTCAGTAATTCGATTTCTTAGGTTTGACAATAATATTGAGCAAAGACCTGGTATAACCAGTTTGTACACTTGGTCAAAGTGTTTGAAAAACTGCAGAAAATTCACAAATCAAGTCGGATTTAGGATCTTCTGACCACAAAATCGAACTATATGCTTTAATTAATTAAGGTTTTCAGTTGAGATAAAAAAGTCAATGGCACGAGCGGGATTCGAACCACGATCTTCGGCTTGATAAGCCGATGCTCTACCACTTGAACTATCGTGACCTCAGGTCTCGTACGTAAGGTAGCTCAAATGGTAGGGCAGCTGCTTATCAAGCCGAAGATCGTGGGTTCGAATCCCGCTCGTGCCATTGACTTTTTTATCTCAACTGAAAACCTTAATTAATTGTAAGATATTAATTGGTCAAGCGGACCACGAAACTAGTGAATTTATATGCTTTAACTTCGAACTTTATTGCTGACTCTCAATTAATTAAGGTTTTTAGTTGAGATAAAAAAGTCAGTGAAACAAGCGGGATTCGAACCAAGATCTTCGGCTTGATAAGCCGATGCTCTACCACTTGAACTATCGTGACCTCAGGTCTCGTACGTAAGGTAGCTCAAATGGTAGGGCAGCGGCTTATCAAGCCGAAGATCGTGGGTTCGAATCCCGCTCGTGCCATTCACTTTTTTATCTCAACTGAAAACCTTAATTAATTGTAAGATATTAATTGGTCAAGCGGACCACGAAACTAGTGAATTTATATGCTTTAACTTCGAACTTTATTGCTGACTCTCAATTAATTAAGGTTTTTAGTTGAGATAAAAAAGTCAGTGAAACAAGCGGGATTCGAACCAAGATCTTCGGCTTGATAAGCCGATGCTCTACCACTTGAACTATCGTGACCTCAGGTCTCATACGTCAGGTAGCTCAAATGGTAGGGCAGCGGCTTATCAAGCCGAAGATCGTGGGTTCGAATCCCGCTCGTGACACTGACTTTTTTATCTCAACTAAAAACCTTAATTGAACGATATTAATTGATCAGGCGGACCACGAAAAATAGTGAATTTATTGCTGACGTTAAATAAACGCTGTATTTTTTCTGTAGAATCAAAGAGCCAATTGGCACAATTTGGTAAACATAAGGCAGAATTCTGTCCCATATTTAAGATTCAATTCAACCTTGACGCCACATCTACAAGGACAACAACATTCCCTGATGACTTTACTCTTAGTTCCTTCCGAATTAGCAAAAAAAATTTAATAAATCTTTTCACTAATATTTTCTAATCACTGCTATGTTAAATTTTATAAATTATTTATAATACGTTCTATGCTTATAATTGTCAAGTGAGTTTGAAATTCTACTCCATTGTGTATCATAGAAATATAATCCCTTTTAGCTCCTGAGTAGCTTTAACTCCTCTTCTCTCAAAGGCAGTAGGTGTAATTTACATTAGTGTTTAGATTAACTGGTAGTACGATCGTATAATGTATACCTCGCCTTATGGAAAACGATCTGTTATTCACTGAAGCCTGATTACCACTGTAAGATAATTTGTACATATCCCTCGAATGAGATCAAGATTATATCAATTTGTATAAAAATCAAGAAAAAATGGTACAAAATTGAAAGAGTAGTTAAATAGTTCAAGCAAAATGTCATGGCGAAATAAAAATAGACTCTGTATAAAGCTAAATATTAAAAGAGTAATTATACAGTTCTAAGAAAAAGTGACAAAAATTGTTTAATGTCTTCAAAGATAACCAGGTTCAGCAATAGCTGAAATTCCATTTTCTAGTGGAAGATACTTAATAGTTCGGATGATTTTTTAAACTAAATAATACATTTATTTTTTTTAAATTTAATATGCAACTCCATTTTGCTACTGATAGGGGTAAAATTTAAAAAATTAGCCAGTGTTCTTTAATTTTTTTTCTCCCTCCACCTTCTGAGATAGACCCCATACACGGCCAAATTATTTGTATTTAAAACTAAGGGGTTAGGGTGCTCTAAATACTTTTCATCGCCCTTTGTTTGAGAAGAGCTGATAAAGGAGTGGTTGTTTTGTACCGTTCTGTGTTATTTTTGTATTAAGCTGAGAGCAAAGGGTCCTCTCTGCAGGTTCTCCTTTTTCCTGCAAAATAGGAAACAGCCCGCTTAACCTATTAGATTCCTTCTATTCAAACGCGAGATTCGTTTTATAATTAAATATATTGCTATTATTTTTTGGAGGGGGGCCGCGGTAGCCGAGTGGGTAAGGCCTCAGACACTGGCTAGTAGATCCCGCGGTCGTGGGTTCGATCCCCAACGTCGCCTCTGGAGTTTTTCTGACGCCTAAGGGGACCAGTGGCTGCAACTGAAAGAAATTAACACGGCCCTCATCAATGGAAGGGGCGGGATCGGATCTCAGCGACTCTGAATTTGGTCCCAACCCCCTTCAAAAATGAGTTTATTCGATGGAAGAACACCGGCACAACGGGGGCTCAAGTTCACATTTGTGTTGCGAGCCCCCAAAAAATGGAGCCAGGGATAAAGTACAATAAGCTGTACAGCTGCAGGCTCAGGAGGAACTCCTCCAGTTCCTGGTATCCATTGAAAAAAAATATTTGGAAATCGTGAGATGGGGTCTGGTGTGACGTAAGATTCAGAAAAATATTTTCTTTATCGTGCCAACGTTTCGATCTATATTGAGATCATCCTCAGGGCCTGGGATTTACGAACATTGTTTAAATTTAACAAATACATGTAGGATGTGGAAAAAAGTGAATTTATACAATGCAAAAAATATATTTTTTATTCTGCGTAGCTGTTACGCAGAAAACCAACACTTTGAGTGAGTAGAAATACTTTGATTGAATATAAAATATATATTTTTTGCATTGTATAAATTCACTTTTTTCCACATCCTACATGTATTTGTTAAATTTAAACAATGTTTGTAAATCCCAGACCCTGAAGATGATCTCAATAAAGATCGAAACGTTGGCACGATAAAGAAAATGTTTTTCTGAAACCTACATCACACCAGACCGCATCTCAGGATTTCCAAATAATCAAAGACTAACGGTCACTAATCACCATATATATTACAAATATCCACTATATATCAGCTAATAAATAATATGTAACAGTAAAAAACACATATTAATAAATACGCAGAAACCAAGCAACCCTCAACAATTTTATATAGAACTCATTTTTTAGGGAGAAATAAATAATTTATCAAATATTGCAACTTGCAAAACCCTCCATGAACGTGAATTCTTTGAAGTCTTGGATGATTGCTTACCTCTGAGGGAAGTAATTTCTTAAACGCTCTCTTTGTTTCTTGTATCTTGTACAGGCCAAAAGTCAGGTTTTGACATCATCGTCATCATTCGATTGGCAATTGATACATATGGCACGTTGTGTGCAGATAATGATGAAATGCTCCGTGGGATGTCAATATTTGGGCTATCCAGTAATCTGGAAAGACCCAAGTAAAAAATAGCCTTTGTTTTACGTTTGAGAAATATTGTAAACATAATTAATGATGAAGTCAATTCATAATAAGAGCAACGATGTTTTCTTATATTTCGACCTCAACAGTTTAACTTATGATTTTTCCTTCTCGATGGCGGGATAATAGGTCATCTCAAAAAAACAACAATCAGTTTTTCTTTCAATCCACAACGTTTCGGATTTATTTTAATCCTTCCTCAGGTGAGTTAACGCAATGGTTAAAACAGTGGTCGTCAGTCATTAATATTTTATAACAGTTTATTTTAAAAAAGAGCCTATGTGGTACATATTTAAGTCTCTCAGACTCCGAAGAAACGTTTTAATATTTTCTATTTAATTATATTAATATTTTCAAATATTAAAACTGGCTCTTTTTTAAAATAAACTGTTATAAAATATTAATGACTGATGACCACTGTTTTAACCATTGCGTTAACTCACCTGAGGAAGGATTAAAATAAATCCGAAACGTTGTGATAAAAACTGTTTTTTTTTTTTTTTTTTCACCACCTTCAAGAAGGAAAAATCATAAATGATTAATGTTATAACAACTTGAACAAAAGGATCTTCAATGAGGTCACAACAGAAACGACAAACTCTTTAAGTCTTTTCCGAGCTTTCGACGATTATATCGTCATCATCAGGGCCTATTTATTTTAGCAAAATATCACCGTTAGAAACGTGTTATATCATTTTAAAAAAATTACAAAAAACTATTATTTAGCTTACTTTAACTAGATGAGTGTTTAAATACATGTATCTGGAGAACAAGAAACTGCATATGTAATAATAATAATTAAAATTAGGTGAAGCTCAGTGTGTAGTTAATTAAAAACAATAAAACAATATAATATTCAATAAAAATTTAAAAATTATTTAAAACCCCAAACGTGCTTCTATAGGTTATCTCGGTTACACAACTATAAATACATGTCTCTTTTTCTTAAAATAAATAATAAAATTACTTTTTTCCCCTCAAGTACATTGGAATCCTACATACAAATCCTTAAGAATAAAATTTTCATTTTTCATTTAGACAATTTGGATATAAATATTAGAAAACTCAATGATTTTTACCCCAAAATTTGGAGTTGTTTCTCTCTATTGTTGTTCTATCTGAAAGTATAAAAAACATTTCGATCAATAGGGAAGGATAGAAAAACGGAGTATGATTACTTTTTTTTTTAACTATAATTTTATTTGTACCCTATACGTATTACAAATGTGATCACAAAACGTGTTTTTAGTCAGTAAATGCCTGCAATGCGAGTGCTGCACCCGGAAGACACATGCCATGTGAAACCGGCCATTTCTCGCACTCACGGCAGGAGGTCTCGAGGCCGTCGTCGATTTCGACGTGGCGGGTTCTCGGGATGGGAATGAGGTTGACGTGAGGGTTAGGATGGATCGAGAGGTTGGCATGAAACTTTTGGAATCGGAAACGGGTCATTCGTTGGCAGAAGAAATGTTGAGGTCTGGATAGTGAGGTTAGTGATGTAGTAAGGAGCTTTGACGATTTATCCGAGGACTTTTGATTGGAAGGATTGGATCTGGATGTCCGATTGCTTAGCAGAGGTAAGTTCCACTCCGTATGTCCAAAGTGGTCGCAGTGAAGGCTTGTTTAAGTTTAGTTGAGTCTTGACGGTCAAGACGGATTTCGATTCTAGGAGTTAAGTTGTCGCGTGTGGGGATTCCACGTCAGCCTGCTGTCTAGGTAAAGTCCTACGTATTTGACTTGAATGGAAATCAATATCTCTTGACTTTTTTCAATGTGAATGTACACTGAGTACACTTTTTATTATCAGTCGATATGCTCAAAGTAGAACTTGCATATGTTTGGAGATAGAGGTCAAATTTGCGGTATCGTCCGCGTAGGTGTTGATGGTATTAGGGTGTACATGTAGGTCAGCAGTATTAATCGTATAAAGAATTGGACCAAAAATGCCCCTTGTGGGTCGCCTGCTTGTTTCTGACTTCCGAGAATTCGTTGCTGCATCTCATTCTGAAGCAGAGGTTCAGGATAGGATATTATTGAAATTTGAGAAAGCAGTGAAAAACACCTTAGTCATTATAATTGATTAAATTCACTATTTTTCGTGGTCCGCTTGACCAATTAATATCATCCAGTTAATTAAGGTTTTAAGTTGAGATAAAAAAGTCGTAGTAGCGGCGTATCAAGCCGAAGATCGTGGGTTCGAATCCCGTTCGTGACACTGACTTTTTTATCTCAACTTAAAACCTTAATTAATTGGATTATAATTTATATTTAGGCTTGCATTATGAAAAAAGATCTATGGAAAAGCATCTAAAATTGAACAATGCTAAAAAAAATCATCGTACACAACTCAAAAACATCAAAAGTGTAACAATAACTGGAAAAACATCGAACATTGACAACCAATTTTTAAAAAATGTACGGAGGGTTTTGGTCAAAGATTGTTTATAGATAAATAAAATAATCGAAGGTCTATGAAAATATTAACATTTGATCATCTTTGAGACTAACAGACTAACGTGGGAGAACATAGAACTTTGATAACTTTTTGGAGTGAACGAAAATAGAAAATTAACAGTCGATAAGTAAAATCATATAATAATCTATGAGCAAAAATCAATAATTGAGGAACATCGATTAAAACGGTGTTACCTAAGATTTCCGTGAAAGTGTGTTGATAAATGAAGTTTGCCCATGAAGTTTCTTGTACAAATGAGATTATTGCTCTTTGAGATTATAAAATAAACATTTTTTTCACGTAATTGTAGCTACTTCTATTTTGTGCTTTATATTAATTGTTGTAGTGTTTTGTTTGTAGGCTTTTCTAGATAAACATTCTCTTGTATAGAAGCCGCTTTGTCCTTTTGTTGTAGTAAACTTGTCCCCGGTTTTCCAATACATGGTAATTTAATTAATTCATGTATGTAAGCGAGTTAATAATGTATACACTATCCAATGATAAAAGATCCTTCCTTAACTTACTCTCGTCCAGCTGAAACGATCTCAGGATTACGACAAAACTTCACTCTTTCATGAAAAAAATGGAATGATCTTGTCTGCAGATTTTGGAGAAGGCTGAAGTGGCCGAAACTGCCTCGGTATTGAAGAAGCAACAACTGAATGAAACGTGAACAGGAACTCCTTATTATCACCAATTAGTACCCTCCTAGATCCTAGAAGGGGCACTACAACAAAAATAATTGTTTCTGTTGAAGTGTATGCATGCGTCAAGGCTCAATCTGGTTGATAAATACAGCGAAAATAGATGATAGATAAGGTGATCTGAGGAAGAAAAAATCTTTTACATTTGATGTTTTATTCTATTGCCTATCGTACTTCCATGCCTTTCATTTTTTTTATTATTGACTTAGAACCCCAGTAGTTTTTATTTTGATAGTTTTTCTTTTATTGTATTTCTTTTTCCTCCATCACACTTACGATTAGTGACCGTTAGTCGATGATTATTCAGAAATCGTGAGATGCGGTCTGGTGTGATGTAGGTTTCCGAAAACATTTTCTTTATCGTGCCAACGTTTCGATCTTTATTGAGATCATCTTCAGGGCCTGGGTTTTACAAACATTGTTTAAATGTAACAAATACATGTAGGATGTAGAAAAAGTGAATTTATACAATGCAAAATATATTTTTTATATTCAATCAAAGTATTTCTAGTGAGAGAGTAGAAACAGAAATTTTATGTTCTGTTAGCTTTTAAAACTTCGTTCCGACCTCCAGCAGACGGTCGTAATCCATTTCCGCGTAATGTGCACCTTGTTATGTACTATAAATAGTTATGTGTGGTGATCAGTGACCGTTAGACGATAATTATTCAGAATTCGTGAGATGCGGTCTGCTGTGATGTAGGTTTCAGAAAAACGTTTTCTTTATCGTGCCAACGTTTCGATCTTTATTGAGACTATCTTCAGGGCTTGGGATTTATAAACATTGTTTAAATTTAACAAATAAATATAAATTCACTTTTTTCCACATCCTACATGTATTTGTTAAATTTAAACAATGTTTGTAAATCCCGGAACCTGAAGATGATCTCAATAAAGATCGAAACGTTGGCACGATAAAGAAAATGTTTTTCTGAAACTTACATCACACCAGACCGCATCTCATGATTTCTGAATAATCTTACGATTTGTAGTTTGCATCCGAACCGAGCTTTTATGGTTTATGTCCTGAGAAACGTGGAATTGGCAAAAAATTTAAATTGGCGATGAGGAAATGAATGAAGAAATAAAATGAGGCGTTTATGAAACGTAGCAAATGATGGAATCCGCATGAAAGCTGTCAGTCGAGACGACACGAGGAGACGGAGGAAAGTAGTCCGAAGGCAAAACAAATGAAAGAGAAAGAAGAATCCACATATTTAAAAATCCTAATGTGTCATTCCAAAATTTAATTTATATACATTCAAATAATAAATTGTAAATAAATAAAACTTCCTTTGGAACAAAAAATCCACGTGATTACGCATTTGGAATGTAATGAACGAATTCTCGAACAATTATCGTATTTTGTATATCACCGCAGTCACAATTTACATCTATCTTCCTTGTTAAAATGCACACAAAAAAACACATTCGCGTAATTAAATTCCCCTATTTTGCTTTTTCATTCGCAAAAAAAATCTGATTACGCAATGGAATATTAATTCAGAGTTATCAGATTGTACATTTAATAATCATCGGTTTTGCTAATAATTAGTAATATTAATCCATCTATGTGATTTAATCATTAAACGAAGTGAATTGTGTACTAACAACAAAATGTATATATTATTTTTAAAGATTTATAATCTAATCACGTTCAAAACTACTGACTAAATTAGTTTAATTTAAGACTAATTTTACAAATACATATATTATAAAATGAAATGTGAATAATCTACTTGGTAGTAACTCAATTCAACGTAATGCTGGCTATATAAAGTAAAAATCAAATTCTGAGTTATCGACTATGAGAAAGCATGATGCATTAAAAAAAAATCAAATGTGTCATACGCTGTCATTACTCATTTATTTGTATTTTTTATCGTCAGCGACTCTTAATCATGACACATTTTGCTGAATTGACTTTAAAAAGTGTATCAAATATTCAAAATATATGTAAAAATTAAAAAAATTAATGTAAAAAAAATTAAAAACAGGTGGTCAGAATTTTTTATTTATAATGAATTATGTCAAGTGTTACCCAAAAACATAGTACTAAAAATATCACTTAATGACACTACACAAAATTGTCGATATCGACAAGCTATTAACGTTATTGGGATGATTTGCTAGACCTCAACAGCCATCATTTTTGACGTATATTCCAGAACAAACAGCAAAAATAATAAAATAACTGGTCCAATCATTGACGGTTAACGGTGCCTCAGTTCGATGCATGAAGAAAGTGCGGTTCCTCGGCTTGATGTTTGATGAAAAGTTCAGATTGCAGTCACTCATCGAAACAGCCGAAGTCTGTTGCTTGAAAAACCGTTGCTCTGCTGAAATATATTGGTCACTTCAGGTGTAGTGCGGATAGGGAGATACTAAAAGCATTTAAAGTGCTGCAATAAGGTTGTTTGGCATATTCCTCGGCCAGGAAAACGCGCATCGCGATGCTCAATAGGTTCTATAATCAGTCCCTTGTCCAGCCCTAACTGTGTTAGGAGAACTGCCGCCGAAATTCGGAGAGAGCAGCTTACCCTCATTTATTCAGGTTCTTGGCCAAGAGGAGTCATTCTTTAGCGTCCTGGGATGCCCACTAAGGGAGGTCTACGACTGACTCGCACTCGGATGCGCTTCGGCGAATTTCTCGTACTAATAAATAACACTAGGAACGGTACTCGATCTGGGAAACCTACCGACTCCGCCCTGGGTCATTCTGGCTGTACGACGAGTCGATTAGCGACCCTGGCCAAATCTACTACAACATCATATCTATGCTAGCCACGAAGAATTCTTCTTTTCATAGGAAGAATCAATCTGTACTGGTTGTCTGGGTGGAAACGTCGGGCTGGTAGATAACGGGTTTGCAGAAGATGCGACGAAAGATAGGACGGCTCACACTCCAGACCTTCCTATCGCGATCCGACGCTGACGCTAAACGAGCAATAAAGAATATGATAAAGAAAAGGTGGTTGCGTCAGTGGACTTGGTGGTCGAGAAGCTCTTGTTTGTCAAGGGCACGATTGGTAGAGTTCTAAACCCAGACTCGATCATCCTAAGGCGACTCAAAATTGGACATGTGCGGTTGACGCACAGAACACTTTCTTTTTTGGCCAAAGCCGCGTATGTGCCCGCATGCGGAGAAAGGTTGCATAAGTGAAGAATGTCATTCCTTGGTTCCATATAGGAATGCCGCCCGATATAAGAATTGTACTCGAGTACGGCAGCGAATTTTTTGAGCCCCTATTACGATTTCTGGAGAAATAGATAGATGTTTTGTGTATTGCAGGTAATCCTATTGTTTATATATACTACATTAATACAATATGTTTTAGGAATATCAAGTACCCCATCGATCCCCAATCTGACAAGGTATTCTAAGTATCTATCTATATGCGTGATAAAGGGTGTTGGAGGGATATCCATTACTTGAGTGAAAGGTATGTAAATAAGCGGGAACGTATTTAAGAATGGGAAAAGGGCTGAAATTTCCACAAATGAAATGTTGTCGATAGCCCTTTGAGCCCTAACGGGTGGTGCGGATGCCGAACTATTTGACCAAATAATATAGCCGGCAATATAGCCGAACGCCGTCGTCCACGGTAGCCGATTTTCGTCAGTTTACGACACAGCCCAAATGGATGTAGAAGATTTGTTGCTGCTCGACAATTCTTAGTTTACACACAAATGGAATGAAAGAAATAAACAAAAATATTGGAAGTTCCATTTCTAAAGCTATCCTTGACCACAGCTTACATGGGGATATCTCTCCGATGATAGAGTGGATCACGCATGTCCCAAGAGCCTGCTCCTCAACCGCACTTATCAATCAAGCAATCCATCGAAATGAAAACGAAACGAAAAGGTAAGCAAAAAGCAAAGAACGGCGTTAAACAATGGTGAGTTTGATGTCACGTGGTTGACAGTTGAAGTCGAAGTAACCATTCGGCCGAATAGGACTGGAAAATCCAACTTTATTTGGATCGGAAAGTGCTTCGGCCGTACACGGCCCAAAAACCGAACGAATTGGTTCTAATGGACGCGTGCACATTCGTTTCTTCGCTTTTGGATCATCCGGCCCTATTCGGCCGAAAACGGCTCCAGTGGACGGCCTTCCCAAGACCAAGAGGTCTGAAGTCTGAACCCGAGCCACCAAAACACCAAACTAGGTGATGTCATACGCACATATATGTTCACGGGTGAGTGAACATACATTCATATGAGTAAAGAACATTAACCAATCAAATCAATTGCTAGTCACATTTAGAATTACCAAATGCAGCTATTACATCAGGGTTCATCCAGAAAAACAAATAAGGAAAAACGTCACATTTCACGAAAATATATATGAGAAATATGTACCTTTCTATCAAAGTCTTTTATTGAAACTATTTATTTTTGTATTATATGTAAATTACTTCCAATACGGTAATATTTGTATAAATTGATTTGTTTCTTTTTTTCAAACCTTTGTACTTTTCCGACAGGAAGAGAATCAGGGCCGAATGAGATTGAAAGTGATAAAACGGTCATTGAACAATAAATACAATTTCTAAAGGGTTTACACTTTTGGAATTATTTTACAAGCGTTGTGTTCGTGTAGAGTGACTTAACTATATGTTATTTACCTGTTTTTTCATGCAAGAACATATAGGACTATCCAACTATTGCTTTTCTGTTTCGACGTCGTGGTTTTTCTCGGTTTTCCAAGGTATAAATAATTTTACAAATCCATAAATACAATTTAATTGTGTTTTGCCAAGTTCAAATTTATTATTATTTTTATTTTATTAACAATGATTGCTAAAAAAAAGCTTCTTTTGTGTTGGTTAAAATCGCCGTTTTTGTTCTATTGGTTATTGAAGTCCAATTAAGTTGTGCAAATATAAAGACTTGTGAGACTAAAAAAACTTAAATTATTTTGGCTTTAGGATAAATTGCATCATAAATAAACCCATAAATTATATTTTGTTTCATTTTTAATCAATTAAATTATGTATACACAAATTTACAGTGTACTATGTATGATGTATAATACACTCATGTTTTAACCCAACATTTGACTTTGTTATTTACAGAATGGCGAATAAATTAAACAAGTGGGTAGCTAGCACTAGTTGCAATTCCACAGCTGTTGTTCCTGTTTCTTGCCATCATGACATAGCCGTCCATTCCCCAGGATGTCCCCCAGGAGTTCTTCACTAGCCAGTAGTCTTCACCATCATCAGTAGTACCGTATCCAACTAGAAGTACTCCATGGTCCAAATTTTCCGTACTGCATTCGGGTTCATAGTACACACCTGGAATTGTAAATCAAAATATCACTGGTGGTGTTGTAGATGGTTTTTGTTTCGGTCAATTACCTTCTTTGTAATTAAACAGGCTGTTATGATTTGCATCAATGCCGATTGAAATGGGTCCAACAGACGCAATAGCTGCTTTTAATGTTTCTTCATCCCCTTCAGGAATTTTGACATATCCAGTGTCGACTGCACCTTTATATTGTGGGCTATATCTGCATACATCATCCTTTAAAAAAAAAGTTAATATTTTAAAAAAGAACCAAACCAACTAGTTTAATATAAAATGTCATACTTGAGCTTCATACGGATATGAAGTTTCAGTGTCAATTCCACCATTTTCTCTGATGTAAGTGAATGCATATTCCATTTCTCCACCATCACAGCCAAAGTTACCAACATTTTTTGAACAATCGATTAAATTTTGTTCGCTCAAAGAAACTAGTTTCCCAGTTTTTCTGTAATGTTGCCCTTCCAATGCACCTGTCTGGAAATCCATTATTTAGAATATGAAACATCAAACAAAAATAAATCATTTCTTACCGTACTGAAAGCCCAGCAAGAGCCACAATCTCCCTGGTCTTTCACTGGAGTCACTGCTCCATGTTTTCTCCAATCTACATTCGTCGGCAATTCAACATTTGCTGGGGTAATGAAATATGATCCAACAGTTGGAACATCATTCCTTGATTTAAACTTTAAACCATTCAATGATTGAGCGAGCTCATGAGAAAGCTTAAAACAGTCAACCAAGTTAAATTATTACAACAGAACAATAATTCAGGAAGAGTTTATAAAGGCATTTTATTACCATGTCTGAGCGGGAATTCAATCCTAATTTGAATGATACAATCCCCTTTTCATATTGTAAATTGTGCTTAATAACATATCGTTTGTTTTCAATAAAAACCATCTTTCTGAATGCTTCTTCTTCGATACTCAGGTAATTTTTCTTGTGTTGCAACTAAATTAACAATAATTTTTTTAACACTTATTATGTTGTGAATTGCATTGTAAAACTAGATACCTTAAAAAGTTCCCATTCATCTGCCACTGGGTCAAACAACTTAGCAGCCTGGGCAGCAGCTAGAATTCCGACAAGAAGGATAAATTTCATCTGAAATAAAGTGAGTTGTTTGAAATTAATATAAAATTTTAAATAAATAATTAAGCTTTGCAAAAATTACAAATTAATAACATTTCTGATTTTAATTATTACAACTTTCATTTTATAAATATTACTCTAAATTGCAAATAAAAAATATCAAAAACAGAATTTTGTAAAAAAATGCCATTCAGATATTTTTTATATTTAACAATGAGAAATAATAAAATACCATAAAGGATGATATAATGACGTAAAATATATCATATATATTTATCATTATACATATATCATTATATAATAATAATGATGTAAAAATAACTACTTTATTGATCCCCAATGACATAACGAAAGTACTTAAGCACAACAGTGATTATAAACTGAAGGTCATTGATTACCTAAAATTAATCAATGCGTATGTCTATATATAACCCACCACACGTGGTATATCCCCCCTATTTGTATGAATGTATTTATTTGCGTGAATGTCGAAGTATGCATGGGCTGTGGCTGTGACAGAATATCAAGTACTCACAGGCCCACCAAATTAGTATAGGTATGTTATATATTTGTAGTATGATGTGAGGGACGGGTCATTGGCATTTCGTTGTTACTATACTTCCGAAGTGTAGTGGTGAATGTATTTATTAGCGTGAGAAGCGATGCGTGAAAGGAATATTGAGTACTGCACAGGCCCGTCAAACAATTTAGCTTAGGATAGTTTAGTGAATGAGTGGAATTTGTAAATACCATTTGAATGTATTTATTAGTGTGAAAGAAAGGAGGCCGCAAGATCACGATAATCTTCCGACCTCCAATTTAGTTGTAGTGTAGGTTAGTAAATTAGTATGAATGTGAATTATGAAAATGTGTATAAATATTATATATAATTTATCACATGTGTACAACAAACAAGATAACGAATCTCCTATTAGGTGAATTGGAAGGCAACAGTTGTTTAGTCGAGGCATAAGAAGACTCAGAAAAGAATGTACACATAAGATAGCTAAGAAGACAAATGTGAGAAGGCTTTATATGTGGGGCGCCGGCGATGACCCGGTAGTTAGCCGGCAAAAAAAAATCTTTATTTACTAAAATTACTCTTTAAGATCCTTCAACTTTAAAGCCAATATAATTTGACATTCTAACAAGAATGAATTTGATTATAAATAATGGAAAATCAGACTTTAATAATAATAAAATATGCTAACTTAACAATTCTGTCAATTTTATACATTTTTCCAAAGGATGATCCCTCTGAGAAAAATAAAGATTAGCAAGAATGATACAATTTGTACAACCTCATTGGCAAGAGCCATGAAACTGTTAAACATATAATCAACTAATATCTTGAAAATAGATGTCATTCTTTCAATGAATAAGAAAATGTATCTTGACTTACTGTGATGTTTCTTTGACGCTTCCAAGGGTGGATTTCTTCTTCCAACTGCAAAACGAATCGGTCCTTTTAAAGTTGTAACTGACTTCCTTTCAACCCCACTTTTCCATGAGGACATCTATAATATCCTCATACAAAGGATATCTTCAATTTAACATTATCTATGATAACTTAGTTATCAAACTGCCAATGTTGAACCTTCTGAGATTAGAAATTCACAATTAATTATTTATGTACAAGCGATGATAATTCTTAATTATATTTGCAATTTAAACACTGGAAAATACTAGGATACTTTCTACAAACATTGATTTTGAGGATCGAATATAAAATAAAATTCACTTTCACTAGCAGTAGTTTCAAGAAGGCTCATTCTAAGACACATCAGAAACTTCTTCGCAGTAAGTCTCGTTTCAACTAACTAAAGTAAATTCAAATTTATAAAAATTATTTTTATAAATTTTAATAAAATATAAATTTTTACAAAATTATATGTAGTATAATAAAAATATTTTACGATAAAGCATAATGTTATAACATTATTTTTTAATTTATCCTCACAATTTCTGGTGTTTGTAAATGTGCAATCACATCCACTCTTAAAAATGTTAAGATAAAGCTACTTTTCTTAGTCAAATTATAATTGTATGAATGTATTACGGAGGACAAGTGGTTAAGGCTGAATCATATTTGCCACATCAGCTAATTGTTCAAACTTTGGCATAGCACATCGAATTTTTAATTGTGAATAATATGAAGAAAGTGTTGTAAAGTAGTTTGTCCCTCGTCCTTGACATCAATGAGTAGTTGGACGTTAAGCTCTCCTATATGCCAGAAATGACTTTACAATAAAACTTGTATGTTGGTCAGATGGATATTTAAATTACTGTTGCACTACCTACTTTTGTTTCAGATGAACTTTTTAATATTTGCTAGTATTTTAGCAGTCGGTAATGCAGTTAGCTTGTATGAACTGGTTGCAGACGAATGGAATCTTTTCAAAGTATACACCTTGACTAATAAAATGTTTCCAAATTTTAATACAAAATTAAATTTGTTTTAGTTGCAACATAACAAACATTACTCAACTGTCCGAGAAGAAAAATATAGAAAGAAAATTTTCATAGAAAACAAGAGCATCATTGCGAAGCATAATGCAAAATATGAACAGGGACTTGTCTCATTCAAATTGGGATTGAATTCACGTTCAGACATGGTAATAAACAGTATTAACATTAACAATTTTTCTTTTTTAATAATGAGATTTTTTTAGTTGTCTCATGAAATTATTCATATAATGAATGGTTTCAACAAATCTCACACATTAACAAATGGTGCTCGTCCCACAGGCTCGTATTTTATTCCTCCAGCAAATGTAAAGTTACCAAAGCATGTAGATTGGAGAAAACATGGAGCAGTGACTCCAGTGAAAGACCAGGGACATTGCGGCTCTTGCTGGGCTTTCAGTACGGTAAGAAATAATTCGTTTTTGCTTTGCATATCATATTCTAAATGAAAGTTTTATAGACTGGTGCATTGGAAGGGCAACATTACAGAAAAACTGGGAAACTAGTTTCTCTGAGTGAACAAAATTTAGTCGACTGTACAACTACAGAAGGAAATGATGGCTGTAGCGGTGGATTGATGGAAAATGCATTCACTTACATCAAAGAAAATAATGGCATTGATACCGAAATGTCTTATCCTTATGAAGCTCAGGCATGCACCGTTTTAATTATAGTACTAATAATTAGTTGAATGATTTTTCATAAAATTTATTTATTATTTAGGATGGCAAGTGTAAATATAACCCTAGTGATTCTGGTGCAACTGATTTTGGGTATGTTTCTATTTCTCCCGGAGACGAAGATATGTTAAAAGCTGCTGTTGCAACTGTTGGGCCCATTTCGATTGCTATTGATGCCAGTCATCACAGTTTTCATAATTACCAAGAAGGTAATTCACAAAAACAAAATAAGATAATTAAAAATATTTATTAATATTTTTATTTGAAATTCCAGGTGTGTATAACGAGCCTAAATGCAATGTGAACTTGTTGGATCATGCAGTTCTTGTTGTCGGCTACGGAACTACTGATAAAAATGAAGACTATTGGCTAGTGAAGAACTCTTGGGGAACTTCATGGGGAATGGACGGTTACATCATGATGGCAAGAAACCAGGACAACCAATGTGGGGTTGCAAGTGATGGTGTCTATCCACTTGTGTAATATTTAGTAAATTGTGTTAATTAATTTAAAAAATCAAATCTTGTCTAAAAAGATAATTACTAATGAATCAAAAACAGTTGCAAAAAACTTTGTAAATTATTTAATGAATAAAAAAAGTAAAAAATAAAACAATTTTTTTCACATATTTAAAAGAAAACTATTCTTCTATGAAACTTACACACTCTTACTGAAACCACTTTTCACTATAAAAATAAATATTTTATGGTATGTATTATGTATGTCTTTCTTAAAGGTATGTTGTTTTTCTTAAAAATAGATTATTCGAAAATTGTGAGATGTGGTCTGGTGTGACGTAGGTTACGGAAAAACATTTTCTTTATCGTGCCAATGTTTTGACTTTATTGAGCCCTGAAGATGATCTCACTCAATAAAGCTAGAAACGTTGGCACGATTAAGAAAATGTTTTTCTGAAACCTATGTCACACCAGACTGCATCGCACGATTTCCGAATAATCATCGACTAACAGTCACTAATCACCACACTTAAAAATAGACCTTTGATATGTGCAACATTTTGACATCATAAGTACAAAATTCTGACAATTTATTTCTTATTAGTTATTATTTTATTTATAATATATTGCATGTATCATGTAAAAAAACTTGTCAAACATAAAAAAGTGGTATATAAATGACTAAATGACTCCAACCCTCCAATCATTATTAATTACACTTTTGAGGGCTGACCTAAAAGGCAAAAATAAAGCTTATTATTATTAGTATTTTTATTATATTTATTATCAGTATTTTTTATTATCAATAGTAAATTAATATGAATGGATTTATAGGCACAAATGTGTGTGTGTGTGTGTGTGTGTGTGCAGACAGGTCTGTGGCAGAATATAAAATACCCCATGTACATGTCAATTTAGATAGGCTAGTTAGTATGTACGAATGAACGGTGTGATAGGTGGGTGAGTCACCGAGAAATATTAAATCCTCGACAACTACTCAATTTTTATGTGTACATGCTACTAAGGCTCTGTACAAATGTATTTATCAGCATGAATGTTTGGAAGGCGTTGAGGTTATGAACACCCTGGCATCATCCAAACTGTAGTTTTGTAGATAATATAGTGTGTAATAATATGTATACAAAGTCATGTATGTAAAATTTGAATTAGGAACATAAGCCATGGATGGAAGAGTATAAATCTCATCACAGCAGCATGGTTTTAATAATTTATAGCATCCGTTTGTTTCTTGTCTTTTCAGTCTTTTGTGGGGATTCCAAGACAGTCGTATATCCATGAAAAGTCCAAGATAATGCACAAAGTAGGCATTAGGGGATTGCCATTCACATTCATTTATATTCAAGGACAGATGCTTTTACGCAAGGTAAAATTTATTTCACACACACTTACACTTTACTTTACACTTTTTGTTAGGTTTATTTTCTTTCTCCATTTTATGAACGTATCGTTGATTCAGTCAGGTGTTGTTATAAGTGTTGAGTGTTTATGGAGGGATCCAAATTACATGTACAGAATCACTGTATCATCATTGAATGTATGCGTTGAAATTATTTATAAAAGTATATTTAGAAAAGAAAACAAAATATTACATTTTTTTACAAAATAAAATAATACTTGTAATGGCATGATCTAGTCGTCTGCCAGTTGACCCTTACATATTTACATTCAAATAAAACTTAAATTAACATACAAATTATAAACTTAACATAAAATTATCTCTGCAATTCAGCGCATCTACAATATATCTATACAAACTAAACCAATCTTTCCCATTTAACAGTTCTATATACTCACGGAATGTCAAACGACATCTGTGGAACCAAATTAACCTAACGTTCTCCAAAGTTGGACAAACTGCCAAAAAATGAAACAAATCTTCCACCGTTTTTAGTTTACATATATAGCATGCTTGGTCTCTTTCCTCCAGCCAAGGCTTAAAATTTAAATATAATAATTGACCTCTCGCGCGAAAAACAACCTTGATCAAATTCCAGTTGTATTCCTTATACAAGTAATTGTTGTCTCCAAGATCGAAGTTCAATTTCTTGTATATTAAATGGTATGTAGAACATTGCACTTTTCTTAAACATTCTTCTTTATGATGAGTTTCTACAGCCTGCAATAATTGTACTGCCCAAATTTTGAAATCTTTCTATTTTTAATTTAATAGTATGCGTTGAAATGTTAGCATGTATAGGAATATCTGTAGTGTATATTGAAAATAAAAATGGGCTAAGTGTGCTTCATTGAGAAACATTCAGCCTAACGCGAATATAAGATGAGAATTCAGTTTGTACTCGGCCAAAGCCTGTTCTAAATTAAGAAAGAAACCCAAGCAATGTTGTTTTCGTTCAAAGGAAGTGGCGATATTGTAGGCAACACGATGCAGCAATATGCAGATTATGAAAATAATAATTTAAAAAAGAAAAAGAAAATAAGGGTCCCCTCATTCTGGATGGTTGCACTGGAGCGGGTTCCTATGGCAGCGGGGGACCACAACCTTCTCGAGTCCCAGGTCTCCAAGGACTGACCAATGCTGATGGGCAAAGCCAAAACATAACAATAAAAACAATACTTTTTATAGTCGAGGATATACAAGGCTATAAAATATCAAATAATTTAAGACAATCAAACATGTCAAAAATGACTTGAATAAATGAAAAACGTTTAAATAAACGTAAACAAAAAATATTTTTACTCAGCTGACTGGATTTAAATGAAACATTTGTATTTTTCTAAATAGACGATAAAATAAAAGAAAATAATACAATAAACTTTTATTTATATAATTTAGATGTTTATGTCCAATCTATGACGACGTCATTTTTTCAAAGATGGCTTGAATGAGTAACCAGTCATTGTCCAATGTCGTCTAAATTTTAACTTCGAGGTGTAAAATTTCAGTCGGTATAATCATTGTTTATAAAAAAAATATTTTTGCATTGACAGTTAGAGGAAGGAATTAACAGTGACTTGCGCCTCGATAAAACTTTAAACAATACTACTGAGAAGTCATGCAGCTAGCAACCGTGCTTGGAAGAAATCTAGTGTTTTCCATCTTTTTTAAATAAATTAAGTCGCTTTAACCGTCGCTTGTCTTTTCGCGAAAACCTTTAACCGACTGTGTGTTCGTGTTTAATTCGAAAAAGAAATTAATGTTGAATTGTCTTCAATGAACAGAAATAGAGTTGATGAAGAACCTTCGGTAAACACCCAAGAAGACAGACTCGCTCGTTTAACTCTTCGCACGGGTTCTGAAAGCACTAGGCACCCAAGAAGTCCAAATGTTAAGAAAAGAAATCAAGATTTTCTCAATTGTAGATTGAAAAGTGACTGTGGTATGAATGACGGCGCATCGTTGTACGGGTTGAAAGGTGAGACATTTCTGGAAAATTTAACGGACGTCAGTACATCACCAATAGTAAAAGACGATTTTATGGATTGCAAAGCAGACTGTCGTTCAAAGATCAATCCAGTTTATGAAAGTTTCGTAGGTGACTGCGAATTAAACAATTCACGCGATCTGATGACGGACCCTTCTAAAAAGGCTAAGGATTTGCAAGTTTACTCCCATCGACAGCTCATGGACATGTCTTCGAGCGAGCCCTCTCTTCAGAAGCCTGCCAATTGGGAAGAGATTCGTAAAAATTTTCCTCAACTGTGTAAAAACGAATTCGTGCCGGTTCACAATTCGACTGGAAAACCTTACATACTTTTACGATGAAGAAACAATGATGTCGGCCCCAGAATGTCAAAACGGCGTCCAATCTGGCGATTCAGAACTACATAACGGACGAATTAGTATTAATGGCAGATTTCAGAAAATAAAGGTTTTAAAACATCTTAAGACAATTTTTTATCAAAATATTTTTCATTTTTGTATGAGGTTGAATGCAGGACAAAATCAAAGCAGCGTGTACTGGAACCTTACGAGTCTGTTAAATTAAAAGCCGAGTTAAAAAAAAACTTCTATTTTGTTTTAAGTAATATTTTTATTGAAATCTGGAAGGGCTAACCAGGTGGAGATGGTTGTTGAAACAGCACATTCTTATCCAATTACATACAACAATCTGAATCGTGTCATCATTGAAATGATTAACGGAGACTTTATTAACAGTGTACTAAAGTTTTAAGTTTGACATCCTAAGACCTCTTTTTCCAAAGAAAACGCCAATAAATTGAAAAAGTCAGATCTGACACACACCTTTTTTTTATATGGAAAGGACGGATGTTTGGGCTCGTTACACATTGTTAATTTCGTTATGCTTCAAAACATAAGTTTTCATATAGAAAATAGATGTTCATACTGTAAATTATTAATAATAGTTTCAAAGTCTTGATAAAGGAGGTATATTCCTGGAATGTTCGATAAAAGAATGGTAAGGAACACGAAAGTATATCCACGTAGACCTTTCAGAGACCCACAACACCCACCATTTTCGCCAGGACAAAAACTTTACGACAGAATTTTGAACACGTTAATGAAGGGAACTACCAACAAGGAAACCCAACACCGATGAGTGTTACCATAAAACACGTACAGCACATAACTATGAATGAAGAACAAAATAGGTCCCCAAAGTCAAACTCGAATCCATAAAATTATTAGTCACAAAATGAAAACTCAACACTCAGAAAAACACATATTTTTTAGGAATATATCTATCTGGAAAGGACAGAATTGAGATAATGAACCTGTCCGATTCGAAGAACCAAAAATTTTAATAGATACGTGGAGGTCCATGACCTTCATCAATACTGAATTCGCGAGGGATCATTTTTAACTCTCCATTAAACAAAGATCCTTTCAAAGTAAAAACAGTTCTTGGGATTAGAAAAAGACATTAAGCTTAAAGCTAGTACACGCTCGTAGACAAATTCGTGAGACTGTCAAAAGACATATCGCCGATTTTGTCTGTGGACTGTTGCGGAACAAATCCTAGATGAACTAGAAGACTAGAACCTTTGTCACGCGTCCTGCACAGTTCAGTTAAACTAGTTTCCGCGATAACGTGAAATAGCGGCCTGCGGCTTTGCTTTTTGTGCAGATTTAATTTTTGATCAAAAAAGGAAATTAATCTTAAGCATTAGTGGACAAGGAACGTTTTAGCAGACGGTCCTACATTTTGATTGCTCTTCTGGAAATATAAAAATTAAAAGATATTTCAGGTTTCAGAAATTTTACCACGGATTTTGAAAATTTGCTGCTTATGGTAATTTCTCGGTAAGAATTTCGAGGTTCATCTAAACTTGTCCAGGGCCTCCAGAATTATTGAAAGCTGATAATTAATTATAAGAGACAAACTACATACCCACTCATGTTATGTATGTTTTCTGATCCAAGTTGAGCCCAAACCTAATCCTAATTATTAAAAAAACAGAGCCCCAAAGGTCTTGATCAAACCTGAGTACAAACAGATCAGGTGCCTTTTTATAATATAAATTAATCGAAATTTCAAAACAAATTTATTAATACAACAAGAATATAATAATAGCTAACACAAATTAATTTTTTTTTCTTTTCTCAATGTTAAAACAATCAACCAAATTTGTAATTGTAAATAAACAAGAATTTAATATTTTAAAAACTATGCACAAACTTTTTGCCAGACAATTCATAAAACAAGGGTGGGTAATAGACTCATTACCCAATTTTGAGGCAATCTGTTGTAAACTATGACTTTTCTTCAGCTTTATTTTTTAATCTTGTCCCACACTTCTGCTCTCTCATGCAAGAATGGGCTAAATTGGATCTCAGAACCCTATAATCAGGAACTGCAGTGCTGATCATAAACTCTAAATTAAAAAAATTGTCACTATGAAATAAAATTGAAGTGTGACGCATGTTAAGTATGAGCACATATTTAAAATATTTATGACCTTAGTTTTTTAATAGTATTTTTTTAAATTAGTTTTTTTAATAGTATTTTTTTATTTAACTGGCAGCCACACCCTTTATTATAAAAAGTGTACAATGTAAATTAATATTTACAATAAAATAGCATAATAGAAAATACACAATAGATAGAAAAGTAGATTTTTAAATTCTAGAAGAAATAAAGATTAAAGTAATACCATAAAAATAAGATATAATATTGTTTATTTATTGTTTTATTAATATATTAATATTTAAGTTCTCCTAAGAACAAAATAATTGAAAAAAATTGCATTAAGGAATTACATGTATTCCTAGAAAAATAAAATAAATTCTGCACAAGTTTACAAAAAATAAATCAGATTTAAAGTCTAGATAAATTATTTTAAAGAGATAAAAGATAATTAATGAAAAAATGTTTAATTTATAAAAGATAAAATAATTTTTAAACAAATTAAAACAAAACTATTTAAGAAGTATTAATTTCTGTTAAGAGAAAGCTAAATGAAAACAACTTTATTGTTAGTAAGAATTAAAGAAAGCTCAAGTTATGGCAAATCTTTGGTTAAATTGTGAATTAAATAAATAATTAAACGTCTAAATATTTTTAGAAATAGAAGTAGAAATATATTTATCAAAACCAATAAGGCTTGGTCCCATTACAATGAGTAGAAAAATATAAAATAATTAAATAACAAAAAGATTTGTGTAAATGGGTCATGGTGTAAGTACTGCACACACCCACTAAACTAAGTTAGGATTTTTCTGTGTGTTTTGTTCCTTGAATGAATGCATTTATTAGCGTGAGTGTTGAATATGTATGGGTGAGTCGTGGCGGAATATTGAGTATCCCATAGAACCATGAAACTAGGTTAGGTGTTTTAGAGTGAAAGTGGGGAAGGGATGAGCATAATATCAATACCCCAGGGGTTCTCCAATTTGTAGCTGTACATATGGTATGAAAGGTTATAAACAGTTTGACTGTATTTATTAGCGTGAATGAAGACAGCATCAGTTGTAGAGCCTCTTCTCCACATATGGAGGGGTAAATACGCGTTAAAATAAGTCTGAAAAGTTCCTTTAGAAAGATCGCTACCTATTTCTTTTTATCCATTTTCATCCAGGATATTCTTACAAAACTAAAACAATAACAAGACAAAGGTAAAAGTATTATTCAAATGGATTCCAGGCCATGCTAGCATAATTGAGAATGAAAAGGCGGACAGAATGGCATGACATGTCACCTCAAATTGAACTCCTTGGTATGTTGGTTTTCCCTTCAGTGACCTCTACTGTCACTTAAGACAGCTCATTTCAGAGGCTTAGAGAGGTGAATGGAGTGCCTGGTCAGAAAACAATCCCCTCACAATAAAAACATTGTATGTAAAAAAATGGGAATCCTCTTCCAGACCTTCCCAAAAGTAGAAACTCTTCTAACCTGGCTTCAAATTGGCCACTTGCAATTCACCCATAGTTTCTTTCTTGAAAGACCCCGTTACTTTTTTGTCCTATATGTACATCTCCTATCACTACATCCCCACCATAATTGATTGTCCTTTATATACCTATGACAGAACCCTTCACTAAATCCCCAAAAACTTCCAACCATACTAAACAACAATTCAACATCAATAAACAAAATTTTTAAATTCTTAACAGAAATCCAACTAATAGATAAAATGTAATTTTATATCCCCTCAATCCTTTATATTTTTTCTCCTGGCGCCCCATTTTGGCAGTGCGGTGGGGCTCAATTGTGGTGATGCCTTGGGTGTGGGTCAGCCTTAGGCTGGATTGAGAGGTGCTTCCCGGACTCAGAGATCAAAGTATCTTGGAGGAAATGTCGATAGTGACTAGACACCCACCCTTCCCCAATAAATCCCTGTGCACAATGTTATATTTAAAAGTACCAGTTGCAAGAGTGTAATATTCATAATTCCAATTACCTCTATTTTAATTTAAAACCTTTCCCTTTGTTCTGTCTTCCCAAGATAAGGACTTTACCGACACCATTCACTCTCCCACCAAGGTAAATTCACTCCTAGACCTCACACCACAGTATATAATAAGAAAAATTGTAACAAGCGATAAGTTTGTTTCCCATGAGCCCTGCACGCCTGTACTTATTAACTTTTTAATAGAGCAATTAATTTTCCTCTCCGTGTTGTTCTACTTCTACGCCAGTCTCCACCCTACAATCCTGAGGTTGGTTATCACAAGAGATCTGTGGGGTGCTGTTTTTTCCCAGCCTGGAGCTGCTACAGAGTCGTGACAAAAAATTCTCCCTGTCCAATAGCCAATGGACAGATTTTTTTGGCACCCAATAATTGCTCTTAAACAATTATTATACTTTTATTTTTGCTATCAAAATTTAATTTTAAAATTTTTAAGATACTATGGTATGGTAGAAAAGTATACTAGGAAGTGGGGTTTGTACTCCCCAGGCACTGCAGCCTTCTGGCTTATTGTACCTTCCTAGTTCTTTAGTTCAGTCAATGGATTTAATCCTTCTTCTTAGAAGTATCAGGTCATTGACTGTTGCTGCTGCAATTTGATTCCCTAAGTTTTTTTCCATACGTTAGGTTAAACCTCCATTGAGCTCTTGCTTCGCATTCGAAGATGATATGAGTGGCTGTTTCATCCTCCTCATTACATAATCTGCAAATGGGATCATCGTTGTGTAGATGTTTTCTCAGATACCAGTGACCGGTTTGTAGTCCTACCACTCCTCTGAGTTTGGCCCTCTCCAATTACAGCAGTGTTTTTGCCAGTCTCGGTGAGGGTTTAAGAGTACTAAATAAATTGTCTGAGATTGCAGTTTCAATGTATTATCTTTTTTAAAGGTAATACCTTTATATCCATAGTAATTTTTGCAAATACTAAGGGTGGTGGGCTGAGACTTTTTACTAAGTGTAAATGAATTGCATGGTTCTTCATGCCTATGACACCTTAGTGTGATAATTTTGTAATTATTTTTTAGTATAGTTTTATTAATGTTTTGTAATTTGATGTGTCTACATACATTCTATTCTCTTCCCCTTCAGTGACCAAATCAAACTAAAACGTCATACTACTGTGAAAGTCATGAAGTACTTCAACGGTCTACCGATAGTACCTATTGCAGAGCGAAGGCCTTAACAATCTGGATTCTGGATAAACAACAATGTTGCCTGCTGACAACGAGTTGCTTATAGTTGCTGATTGCTTTTGAAATAATCGTGCTGAATGAATCCTGATTAGGCTGGAAAATGCCGAAGAAAACGGCCAACTTCGTCGACAACTTCTCAAAAGTGATCAACAGGCGTAAAATCCAAAAGAAGAAACTTCCAGGAAATAGCAGAAGCTACAACGAACAAGAGAGTAATTATTCAATTTTTAAAGAAAAGGTTCCTTAATTTCATTTTAATTTTAAAAGATTGTTTCAAAAGGAAAACCCAGACATATTAAAGTTTTGTCTTCGCGGACCAGGATGATCAGATATGATTAAACTGACAAGACCATCAAATAAAACTTTACCCAAAACAATACAAATCTAACAGCAGACCTAAACAGGCTTACAAATTTCACCTAAATAAATAAAAATATCTTCACTTGCTTTACAAAAGTGTCATACAGTAGAAAAAAACCTCAATGAACGTTTTGTATATGGTAATTTGTTGGGTTCTTCCTTGCTGTTTTTGATTTTTCATACATACCTCCAATTTAGCAGAACAGTTTTGATATGCTTTTTCGATCTCAGCAGGGTTTTAATCTGTAATATTTGATTATACTCATTGAAACTGAGTTCTTTAATTCCAAACATAGATGAATTCTAACAGAGTGGAGAAAATAATTTATTACTTATTTATTATAATTATATGATTTTTTTAATTAAAATCACTAGCACAACGACATACAAAGATTATTTGTAGATCGTGAGATGCGGTCTGGTGGGGCGTAGGTTTAGAAAAATTGCATCACACGATCTCCAAATAATCATTAATTAACTGTCACTAAATACCACACATTACATACAAAGAGTTTTATATTAGTACATGTATAGAAATATTTCACATTTAACAATTTGAGACATCAAAATTGATCACTTGGTACTATCGCAGTTTTCACTAGGGGAAAAATTGGTACTTCATAAATGCTATAATTTAAAATAAATTATTATCAAACTATATCACAAATGTTTTTACACTACATCAAATTGATCACTTGGCATTATCACAGTGTTCACTAGAGGATAAATTGTTACTTCATAAACATTATAATTTAAAATAAATTATTATCATACTACATCACAAATGTTTTTACACTACATCAAATTGATCACTTGATATTATCATAGTTTTCACTAGAGTTACTTCATAAATGTTATAATTTAAAATAAATTATTATCATTCTATATCACAAATGTTTTTACACTACATCAAATTGGTCACTTGGTATTATCACAGTTTTCACTAGAGGAGAAATTGTTACTTCATAAATGATATAATTTAAAATAAATTATTGTCATACTATATCGCAAATGTTTTACAGTACATCAAATTGACCACTTGTTATTGTCACAGTTTTGGAAGAAAAATTGTTACTTCATAAATGTTATAATTTAAAATAAATTATTATCATACTATATCACAAATGTTTTTACACTACATCAAATTGAACACTTGTTATTATCACAGTTTTCACTAGAGGAGAAATTGTTACTTCATAAATGTTATAAATTAAAATAAATTATTATCATACTACATCACAAATGTTTTTACACTAAATCAAATTGATCATTTGTTATTGTCACAGTTTTAACTAGAGGGGAAATTTTACTTCATAAATATTATAATTTGAAATAAATTATTATCATACTAGATCACAAATGTTTTTACACTACATCAAATTGAACACTTGTTATTATCACAGTTTTCACTAGAGGGGAAATTTTACTTCATAAATATTATAATTTGAAATAAATTATTATCATACTAGATCACAAATGTTTTACACTACATCAAATTGACCACTTGTTATTGTCACAGTTTTGGAAGAAAAATTGTTACTTCATAAATATTATAATTTAAAATAAATTTATCCTACTAGATCACAAATGTTTTTACACTATTTACTCATGTCTTGTAGCAAATGTGGTTTCAGATGTAATACCTTTTTCCTTGTGGTTTGAAGTGGAGAGCACCTTTAAATTTATTAAGTACAGAATGGAACTTGTTGAATCTCTTGTCACTTGTCTCTTGTATAGTCAGAAGTTGCAGTTCTTTGTCTGTCTGGTTGTTCCTCACATATCACTCGGCGTTTAGTGCCATTCGCGCTATTCTATTTTGCAATACCCGCAGACGCTTTATTTTGGATGAAGACGCTGCTTCCCATGTATTTATAAATTGATAATAGAATATAGTGTATCCTTTGGTCATTTTTGTGTGTGGTGTGTGTGTGTGTGTGGTACTTCCCGAATAGCTTGCTGTCAGAAGGATTCTGTATACTTTCCTTCAAATTGTAAGACTGGTGGGTCGCAGGATAAAGATTTTTGCTTTGCACTTTGAAGAGTTTATCTCCAATTTCCATTTCTCACAATATTTTGATATATTCTATAAAGCATTCTGAACTGCTTTTTAAGTCTCTAAGATACCGTGATAGGAAGCAAATATAACTGTGTCATCTGTGTAGTTTGCTTCATTTACACCAGCTGGAGAGGGAAGGTTGTACATGTACAAATTAAATAGGATTGGTGGGAGGACTGATCCTTGTGCAGTGCCTTGATGTTCAGAATTTTTAAAAAAGAAGGAAATTGATTAGTTTTACTTATGTTAAAAATATGTGTTGGCACTTACGTATTTCTAAATTTATTTATATACAAGCTGACAGTATAGTTAAAGAGGCTGCAACGGCACATGAACCACACCATCCTGTCAGCCCAGCAGATGTGGATTAATGAAAAAGATGAATGGGACTTCTGCCAAATTTTTGGAAGATAAAGACTGGCACTGGTCTCTGATCCATTAGACTGGGTTGAGAAAGGAATGGGCCATACTAGGTTACGCATAGGACATATTAGGCATGGGCACTTGCGGGTAGGAAAGAGATCACGTTGGTGCTCATTAAGTGTTGAAAGATTAAGCGTTGAGAATATTTTACAATGCAGAAAACTAGAAGCCTATAGGAAGTTAAGCATTAAGCTACGAAGTTCCTTCTGACCTATGCATGGTATTATGGCACTGTTTCATCAGAGCTATAAGAGTTTTTAAATGTATTAATATGTGCTGTGGTTTATGTGTTTATTATGTGTTGGTAGATTGTTAGCATGAATGAGGGTATGAGGGGGAATATTGAGTGGGGTGAGAGTGTGTTGTCTGGAAGGTGAAAATAACTTATTACCATGAGTGGAGGGTAAACCTGCCTCGAGGAATATCGAATATGTAGGGGTTTGAATGTGACCAGACTTGTCTTGTTATAAAAGGTGAAAGGATATCAGTGCCGTCAAAATATCAAAGTATTTGTTGATATTTCACATTGCATGTAACATCACATTGTTTGATGTGCGCTTCTGGCTATTTCAATGGGGCCACAACATGTTTTTGGGAGTGTTGTCTACCAGCTCTTCATTGGGGCATTGCAAAAGGGCAAGGCTTCGTCATTAGCTGTGTTTCTGGAGGAGGTGGGATGCATGAAATCTGAAAATCCTAATGTGTTATGTGTTTTCCTGGTTCTTTTAATAGTACTTTCACAACCTGAGGTACTTTGAGAGTTTAGGAAGTTAAGAAAACAGGAGACAAAATATGAAAGTGTTAGTGACAAAGATGCTTGAAAAAACCCAAAGAATTTTCTGTTTAAAGGGCAGTGGGGTGACGATGGTTTTCGACTGCACACTCCATATCTTCTATGCCTAGCAATACGTTTTAATCTGTATAATTATTTAATAACTGAACATTGTTTTTATAATATGTGCGTGCATGCACATCTTAATTATATTCAATAACTCCTCCCTGATTTTATAATTTATCTGACAAAGTGATGGCAAAAAACTTTGAAAAAGAGCATTTTGTATTGTTGTAAATTCTAATAATTTGCTTCTTCACCAAAGTAAACATTAATTACCTTTATTATTTACATTCAGTCATTATTTGCCAATCTTGCGTAATGAGAGCAAATCTAAATTCCTGGAAGTAAATAAATTTATTTAAACTGAACTGAAGAGTACATTTTTCCGATCAACAGTGAGTTGATATGTACGACTGCTTTATTGATAGTGGCAGTTTGCGCATCATGCAGTCGAGTTGTTCTCCCAGAAATTTACCCCAGAGTACCATTTGTTACCCCAGAGTAAACCACAAAACATTTATTTATGTTGCTCGCAGTACGAGAAGATCCGGATCACTTGTGGTTCCATCATCAAAAAATTGGCAGTGGAATTTCAACGAGGAGCTGAATATTTTACTGTTGAAGTCACAATAGCTCAAGTGTTAGAGCAGCAGCTTATGTGCCAAAGGTCGTGGGTTCAAATCCCACTCGTTACACTAATTTTTCATCACGACCAAAAACTTTAGATAAAAAGAATAATTAATTTTACTGTATGTACATGAATTTGATATCTCCTCAGACACTGCCCAATTCACTATGTGGTTTGCAATACAGCAAGGAGCAAGATAAATATCAATAAGTTATAATTAACAGAGAAAGGCCACGAAATACCTGTATTACAAATTATGCAATCATAGGAACTACCATCATTGCTCCTATGAAGCCAGACTTGCTCTAGTAGGCCTGGATTCTCTGGAGGATAGAAGAGTTTTGGCTTCTGTTGTGTTTCTGTGGAAGATCCTAAATAATTTTATTGACTCCCCGGAGATATTATCTTGTATTGGCTTTAGAGTTCCCCAGCATCAAACTACGGACCCATGAATTGTTTGATACTTCACGGCACTGGACCAAATACGGGTTACAGTATTCAATCTCCACTGTGCATTACTTAAATAAATTCGCTATCAATGCGGACCCTTTCTCCTTGTCCCTTTAGGTCTTTAAAAAAAATATTAAACGTGCTTTAAAATGTAATTGAGGGTTTATTTATTACTTTTGTTGTGCTATTTATTAATCTATTTATAATATTGATTTTTTGTTATAAGTGTAAATGCTTCTTTGCTGTTATTTTTATTGCTATTATTTTTATTTTTATATCCTTTTTTAGTAGTTTATATCTAATGATTGTTCTGTTGTGTTGCTTGACTGTCCTATGCCTGTATCTGACCTGTTTGGATTGTAAAACAAATAAAATAAAAATAATAAAGTCATGCCACAAACTGTACCTGTGTAAGGAGTTGACACCATTTCATCGCATTAACGATAAAGAAATAATATAAATTTGGTAAGATAAATTATAAAATCTGGGAGGGGTTATTGATTATAATTAACACGTGCATGCTTGCACATAGAAAAACAATGTTCAGTTAATAAATAATTATACAGATTAAAACGTATTTTTAGGCGTACAGGATATGCTAAACCAACAAGACCGCTAAACATTGCAAAATGGTTGTTTTATTTTTATTTTTTGTCTTATTTATTTATAATTAATATTTTATGGCCAATTAAGGCATACAGAAGAATATACATAATGTAAAAATAAATAAGCTATATAAATACAAGTAATATAAAAGATAAAAATTGAAAATAACTGCATTACTGGTATACATTGTGCCAAGATTTCTATCTTTTTTTTACTTTTAACTTCATGAAGTAAATTATTCTTAGGGGACGCCAGTCCCAGAATAAAGTTATTCTTCTTCTCCCTCAGCCTGATTGTTGATGTTGATGGATAGAGGATACTGGGACGTAGGGTTTATGCTTTTCAGGCACTGCAACGTGCAATCCTTTTTCTCAGTAGTATTAGATCATTGACTATTGCTACTACAATTTTTTTAATGCTAGATTATATCTCCATTGAGCTGTAAGTCCAAATTCCTTTCCTTTAGAGGAAGGTCAGAAAATGAATTGTACAAAAATAAGACAGTGTTTTGTTCTTAGTTGAAAATGAATTATCATGTTTTTGTAATATTTAGTTTCAGCACCTCCAGAAGGTACACCTGTATCATTGAGAAAAGTTAAACTAGCCGGTCCATTTATTCTTGGGCCGACTGTTGGCAATTCGCCTGTTAAGAGTATAGTCCAATGCTTGGCACGACTTCAAGGGACCGATGAATTTTATACATTAAAAGTAATTTAAGGAATGCCAAAACATAAATTTGTCAGACAAGAGTTTCATATAAGATTTTTCCCCACAGATACTGACTTTGAAGGAACCAAAGGAAGAAACTCAAGATGACCGCCAGGGTAAAATGCTTCTTCACTCAGAGTATTCTTTACTTTCATTATTACATGACCAACCGAATGTAATTCATCATCATGGATTTTTCAAGGTACGTTTATTATAATTTTATAATTTGTCTTTTGTTAAAGCAATAATTTAATAAAATCAATTAATTAGGATCGAGCATTTGAAGAAAAGGTCAATGCAGAGGGAAAACTTGTCTACACTGGTAGGATAATAAAACGAGTATGTCTTGTTCTGGATTGCCTTGTATCTCATGACTACTCGGCAAAAACTGCAGATTTAATAAACCTTCAACACTATGTGATAAAGGAGAAGAAATTGTCGGAAAAAGAAGCCACTCTGATACTATTCAATACAGTCAAGGTTGTTCACAGCCTACATGAGAGAAATATAGTTCACAGAGATCTGAAACTTGGAAATTTAGTGCTTCATCGGAGCACTCATAGAGTTATCGTAACAAATTTCTGCTTGGGAAAACATCTAGTAAGCGAAACAGACCTGCTGAAAGATCAAAGAGGATCACCGGCATATATTTCACCTGATGTTCTCTGTGGGAAACCTTATGTTGGTGAGTAATTGTTTATTTATTATTATGAAATTTTTTATAATTTAATAACATCGCATTAGGAAAACCTTCGGATATGTGGGCTTTAGGAGTTGTTCTGTTCACAATGCTTTACGGCCAATTTCCATTTTATGATTCAAGTCCTACACAATTGTTTAATAAGATAAAAGCTGCTGACTACCAAATCCCAAGGTAAAAGTTTTATTTGAAATTTTATAATGAATCGAAATGAGGTATTGCTTGGTTTTCAGCGATGGAAGGGTCAGTGAAAATATGATCTCTTTGATTAAAAATCTTTTGGTTTTAAAACCAGAAGAACGGCTGAAAACTCATCAAGTCATGGATGCCCTGTCTACAATTTACGCTTCACTAGAAGCTGGAGAATCTGATTTATTGCTGCAGGTAAGAAAAAATGGTGTTTTGTAGTATAGTTATAACCATAAAAAAATTTTTAAACCGTATATTGGGTGTGTGCATAGGTTTTTCATTTTTTCAAATTTCGACTATCATCCTTATAAAAGCTATTGGTACTTGCTACCCCGTTAGGTCTAGGGTGGAATAAAGTCCTATTGAAAGATATTGTTAAGAAATGTATATTGTAAATAATTGTAAATAATATTGTAAGAAAGTTGATCCCAAAAGTCAGTTTAGAATGTATTTAGCGACGTACACGACATTGAAGCAGATAACATTAATTTGAGGCATTGCTCATTGACAAGTTACAAGAGCGGCAGATGCCTGCCCAAATTTATGTGGAATTTGTGGTAATAACATAGTAACCAACCATGGTAGTTAACAAAGACCAGCTTCCTTGTGGAAAGCCTCACAAGCTAAAAAGCAATGACTTATTAGTGGCATTAGATGACAAGGACAAATTCTTTAGCAGAGATTTCGGAGATATTCCAGGTTCGCACAGTTATTCATTTAACATTCATTAATAGGGGGCCGGGGTAGCAGAGTGGTTAGCGTGAGATAAAGGGGCTCGTAGACCTCGCGGTTGTGGGTTCAATTCCCACCGTCGCCTCTGGGCACGCTGCCCTTCCCCCCCCCCAATGAATACGCATAATAACATTGTCATTGGCTAATATGCACAGAACATAAAGCCATTTAAAAAAAAAAAAAAAAAATTCCTTAATGAATCAGTACAATTATTACATATAGTTAAAAGAGGGAAAGATGTTCAAACAGGGAAGCAGCTCCAAAATAGAACCATCATAATATTAATAATAATCATACATTATGTAAAAACAGTATAAAAGGTAAACAAACATGATAGCAGTCGAAAATATATGTGTAAATAGAAATAAGGAAAATTAAAATAAAAAGGGTAACATTCATACTTCACGGCACTGGACCAAATACGGGTTACAGTATTCAATCTCCACTGTGCATTACTTAAATAAATTCGCTATCAATGCGGACCCCTTCTCCTCNATTCATTAATGAATCAGTACAATTATTACATATAGTTAAAAGAGGGAAAGATGTTCAAACAGGGAAGCAGCTCCAAAATAGAACCATCATAATATTAATAATAATCATACATTATGTAAAAACAGTATAAAAAGTAAACAAACATGATAGCAGTCGAAAATATATGTGTAAATAGAAATAAGGAAAATTAAAATAAAAAGGGTAACATTCATACTATTCCTCAAAAACTCAAAAATATTTCTGTTAAAAGCCACCTGACTGTCAACAAATGGATATGACACATTCAAAGAATGGGCAATTCTATAAACCCATTTTGTGGATGAGAGATTGGTTCTGCAAGAAGAAATGTAGAACACTTCATTCACTCGCAAACTCAGGCTAGGCACCCTTAAGCTGAGTTGTAATAAAATTTCTGGAGCACTAATAAAATCATTTAAGACCTTCCATCCGAATAGTGAAAAAGCAGCACGATGACGAGTAACCAAGGGATCCATATTCAATGTGTCTAGGGACATGGAATACATAGTGAAGTTGTGCTGGAGAGGATTGAGTTAAGAAATAAAGAGGTTTTAGAACTATAAAACTATAAGTAAGAGAATCCAACTCAGGGTTACGTTTCAAAACTTGATTCGAAGTAAGAACAAAAAGAATTAGTTTAAATGGCCCTAGAAAAAAAGGCTGTAAACCAGAAGTAGCGATCACCCAGACAGGATAACATGACATCCCCCACCAATCTGGGAAACAGAGCCCTGCAATAATTACACAGTTGATCAAATAAATAAGAATGTCGATGGGTGTCGCAACCCAAACAGGAGCCACATGATGTTTTCCATGAACCTGAAAAATATAAAGTTGCAATAGTTGGACAGCGATCTAATAAAAATAACTAACATCGAGTTATTTAGTGCTGAAGGGTTGTCACAAGGCCAAAAATATGGCGTGGGACATCATAAATTGGAATTACACTTCAACTGGGTGTGTGACGTCCGTCTTCGCCTGACCATCCGCAATGTGGGACTCCGACTTTTGATTTTCCTTTCCTCCCCTACTCCGGTAGAGAAGCTGGTATAAAAAGGGATGATTTGGAAATCAAAAGTCAGTCAAGACCAAGGACACTTATCTCAGGCAATCACCTTAGAGCACTGCCCTAGGAAAAGACCAAAGACTCACCCAAGGCAGTGAACAGTCGACTAGGAGTCGATCCGGAATAAAAGCAGCCACACTCCGTCTAGTACTTATCAAGAGGATTTAGCCATCTAGAGCCAGCGAGGACCAGCTGTTGGGCTCATTGGATCAGATCAACAGCCAAGAAAAGTGAAAAGGCGCTGGGGATCCTGTGTACACTAATCATGGCAAGAGTTTTGGGTAAGTCGCTTTGTTAATAGACATCCCAGATTTAGAGCTGGGGCTGACAGATTAATTAAGATTTTGAGTTGTAGTGTGTTAAAATAAATGTTGAATAATATAGTCTCTTCTTTATTAAATTCTAGAACCTCACCTTCCCCTATAAAATAATAAGTAGCAGTGAAGCGCTTAGGCCAACTTCTCTCTTGTTTCTTAGAGAAAAACAGTGAATGTAGAGATTATTCTACTGTCATGCAGTCACCACTTACAATTGGTTCAGCATGAATTGTCCCTCAGGAACAAAGATGACCATATGGCTTGTTGCGTTTAACATCTGAATAGAAATAAATGAGGAGGGTTTATTTCCTATGTGGTCACTGGATGTAAAAATTGCGTCCTTATGGAAAAACGTCCAGCTCTTGTGAAAAGACGCAACATCCTGTTTCACCATGACATGCCAGGCCTCACATAGCTGGACCCATTCAGATTAAAATTGCCGAGTTAGGCTGGCAACAAACATCCCACCCTCTACACTTTCCAGACCTTGCCCCTTTCAATTTTTACTTGTTTCGCTCCCTCACAACCACTTAAAAGGTAGATAATTTTTGATGGAACACTGTGAAAGTCAGAATTAAAGATTTCATCTTGTCTAAGTCATCAGACTTGTACAAAAAAATAAAATAAAACGTTTAAATTCTTTGACAATTAAATACTAACAATTTTTAGGTTGTACCAGATATTGATGATAAAAAAGAAGAGAAGGTTGAGATTGTAGAGCAGAAAAATGAGGCAACTTCAGATTATTTTAGAAACCCAACCCAATTTCGAGTGGCCAAAATAGTAAATACTAAATTACTTGTCTTATATATAAAATAAATTGTAATAATGTTTAATCTGCCATTTACAGGTGACAGTAAGACCAGAACAGCAGAAAAGACATGGACAAGTTCCAGTCCATCGTGTCGGTGAGGATGCGCGTGAAATAACACAGCAAGAATTAAACAGATTCCGTCATTTGCTTCCTTCCAACTTGAGAGTTGATTCTAACACGCCAAATCGGTCAGGAAGAGGTGCTAGGCTGACCATTTCGCACAATTTACCATGGTCACCACAATCGCAACGCAATCTTATCAACAGACTATCACTGTTCATAAGGTCACGAATTGATAACCCAGGTAATTTGACTTATAAGCTTAATTTTTGCTGAGTAGAATTCAAAAATAATTTAATTTAAAATTACAATATTTAAAATTGCAATAATAAAAACAACAGGAAATTCTGATTACATGTTTTGTTTTTGTTTCAGAACCTAATGCCAGCCAGTGAAATAAGTTTATTATGTATAAATAAAAATCATAACAATATATTTTTGCTAATCTATTACAAATATATGTATGTACTTGTTTGTACATAGCAATGTTTTATTTATAATTTCATTATTTTATCAATTTTATAAGTAATTAATAAATACCAATGATATTCACTTTTATTGTCACAGACCTTTATAATTTTTCTTCAATACAAAACAGTTTATAAAGGATCTTACAAATCAAAGATTACTGATTTATATAAGCTCAGAAATGACAAAATGGAGGGAAAATTAAAGAGGTGAGCTTGAGATGGAAAGTTAGTGACCAAGTGGATCGAAGTCACGGTAGATCAAGTGGTTGGGCAGCGGCATATCTAGCCGAAGGTCATGGGGGTTCGAATCTCGCTCATGACACTGATTTTTTTATCTCAACTAAACATCTTAATTAATTGAAATATATTAATTGGTCAAGCAGACCACAAAACTAGTGAATTTAATAAGTTAAAATTAAGTATATTTTCACTAAAGCTCTCCGTGGCCATTTCATTTATCGCCGGGAACCAAATAGATTACTCAACATTTGAAAAATGGCAAAACGGAGGGAAAATTCAAAAAGTTGGGGTTGAGATGGGAAGTTAGTGTCCGAGTGGATCGAAGTCACGATAGCTCAGGCGGTAGAGTAGCGGTGTATCTAGCCGAACATCGTGGGTTCGAATCCCGCTCGTGACATTGACTTTTTTGTCTGAACTAAAAACCCTAATTGAAAGATATTAATTGGTTAAGCAGACCACGAAACTAGTGAATTTCCCATAAGGTTGTGGGAATGGCCAATAATAATAATGGAGTCAGACTAGCGTCTCAACATGACTATAGGCTCATCATTATCCTGTTATTCTACTATTATAATACCATAAATACACTAACTCTACTTATCAATGATAAAGATCTTGTAATTCGTTTAAATCACTTAAAAGGTTGAGCCTTTGCCTAAAGGTTTAAAGTACAACAGTTGACCAAAATATGCTTTACAGTCAGAATGATAAGTACTCCACTTCGAATACATCAAGGACAAATTGGAAGATTGTTGTCTATTAAAATCCTATTAGTCAGATGTCTTATTCGCAATCTAGAGAAAATCACAAGTTCTTTTCTCTCAAGTTCCTCAGCTGACCATTTATGTACAACTGGCTTAATTTATTTCATACTATATATATTATATATTATGCAGGGTGGGCGACCAAGACCCGAGGGGTTAAATGTGGTTAAGTGTTTTTTATTATATATATATAATTTTGACTATATATAATCTGTTATATAGTAACCAATGGCGAGGGGGCAAAAGTTATGTATCAGTCACTATGATGCTAGTTGCTAAAAGATAAATGTGATTAAAAAAAGATGGACTAACTGAATAATAAAGCCATGTGATTTTCCTCCAGGAGCCAGTCCAAGGAGGATTGTTTCTGTTTGTTAGTGACTTACAATAGGCCATACAGGGTTGACAAACAAACACTCTTTGGACATAAGTGAAAATAAGTAGAGAGCATGTGTAGCATATCAGCTAGTATGATAATCATGCAGTGATTTTCTGGTTTCCCTTTGCTTTCTGTATGAAATATCTGAAAAATGTGAACATAGTATGGATGTTTTATGAGCTAAGGCTAATAATGAAAGTAAGTACCGTTACTTGGGTTAATTTTGTGTAATTTTGTGGCCATGGTTGAAAAGAGGCCTCTTTCTGCAACGAGAGAAAATCTGAAAAAAGATCATTCTCACCTAACTCCGAATGGGTCAAACAGGGTTGGCACAAATTCGACTGATTAATCAAGTACACATGAGCTGCAATTTTTGGACTTTTTTTAGAGAAGGGTCTAGTAAAGGTTGCAACCTTTTCTCCACTGCAACATGTACTGGTTAATTATGACCATACTGTGGAAAGTAAGCTTTGCTTCACAAAACTTAGCAGTTTCTTCGGTGCCACTTCACATACTTATCTTGGTGTGAAAATTTAGGGATGGTTAGGTGGTTCCTTCCGTGCACAGTTTCCTAGGTTGCTTTCTTTTCCAGTCCATCCACTCTCGTCGTCTTCCTTACATCATCCAATCCCTCCAATTCAATTCCTCACATCTCACTCGTAAGACCCGCTCATCCCCAATTGACCTTATCCTTCCACAACATACAACCCATACCTTCGAAAGATCCTTTCTGATCCGAGCCCCTAAACTCTGGAACTCCTTCCCCTTTCTATTCATCATGCTGCCTCCTTTACCTCCTTTAAATCCCACCTGTATAATCACCTCCTCTCTCTCTAAGCAGAGACCTCACATTAACATTTGTTATTTTTAATATTTTTGTAATTTTCTCTTCTGGCATGCCTTACTGGTATACATTGTTCTATCTTTTTTTTTTACTTTTAACTTCATAGAAGGAACTTCTTTTATTTATTTCATGTAAATTATTCTTAGGGGACACCAGTCCCAGAATAAAGTTATTTTTCTTCTTCTTAAAATTGCCTTACCAAAGATGCTATACTATATGGGCTAGTGTTTTATATTTATATGTGGTTTCACTCGACAGAGTCAAGTTTCTGTTTCTGCTTCGCCCACATCTTTAAGTTAATTAAGGGCATTGGCCGGTATAGAAGCCTCTAATTTTCCTCAAATCTTTCCTGCTGAGATAGATCATCTTCCTTTTTGAGAGATTAATAAATATCATATCTTGCCTAATACCAAGTCCTAATGACAAGTTTTTAGCTCCAACTTAGCACACTCTGTATTTTCCCCCTCGACAACTTAATCATACAATAATTTCCACTAATGAAGAAACGAACAAAAGGCCAGCGAGGTGATGAAGCTTTAGGTTGATTGTATGAAATAAAACCTTGTCTACCTGGTTCGACTTCGATACACAGAAATTAATATTGAAAGTGAAATTATGAATGCATCAGAAGTGATTTCTGACCAGGATGATCAGAGATGATCAAAATACAAAGGAATAAACATGACATTAGAATCCAGCAACAATTTTTTTTTCAAACGTTTATATATTAATTTGATATAATAGGTTGTCAAACTTTGAACAATTGATAATAAATTAGGCAGTTAAGGGTCATTGATTCAGTAATTACAAGTTTAATTAGTTTTCTAAAACTTTATTTTTATTTCTTGTATAGCATTCAATTTTATTTATCTTTAACCATTGTCCTAATAATCTTGTCCACCTTTAATTCACCCTTTATAGCTCCTTTTGGAGATGGTGGGATAAAGGCACCTTTCTTTGTTTTAGTGGTGGCTCTCTGCCGTTTTGCAGCGAAATGTACAAGAATGAAGAATATACCACCAGCCATCAAGGCAGAACCTCCAACATAATTTGTGGCATAGAAATCATTCAGTACAGATCTTGACATTTCTTAAAAAAGACATAATTAATCAAAATTTTAAAGTAGTACTTTATATGTAATACATCAAAAATTCCTTTATTAGCTACAAACTATTAAACGTATATAAAAAAACTGATTAAATCAAGCACCTGCTAGTGGTACACCTATAAATGATCCTGCAGCCTGAATAGTAAAAGTAAATCCCATTGCTCTTGTCAAATTTTCTAAACCTAGATACTCTACATATAACATGCTCCTTAGTGGAATGAACACACCTGAAATTGTATACAAATTTGTTTGTTTGATCGTTTTCGTTTTACGGAATGAAAATAGGTACCTGCACACATTCCTAAGAGGAAAGAGGTACAGATTAAATACCAAGTATTTGCATAAAGTGTCATTAACAAGTAAACTACACCTGCAGAAACCATCCCAAATGATACTACATGAATAGCGTGCAGAGCAGGGGTACACATTAGCAAAAGACCTACAGTTAATCTTGCTAGCGTAACACCAAATCCCAGCGCTGGGACAAAAAATGTACTGATAGTCTCATCAATACCTTTTTGGATATATGTCCCTAAAATTATACCCTGTATATTTATATGTTGTAAGAAAAATTAAATATATTATCTAAAGATGATCATACTTTTAAGGTAGATGAATGGTATGAAAATACCAAAATAATAGCAAAAGCTTGCTCCTAGGAGTAAAAGGTAGACTTCATTCTTTAAAAGACTAAATGCAAGCATTTCCTTAAGTGGTTTTACAATTGCTTCAGGGCACAGTGTACATTTATATTCTTGCTCTTCTAAAATATCTTTTCTTGAAGGAAAACGCATCAATGACATAGCTAAATCTTGAGATCCCTAAAAAAATATATAGAGAAATACATAAATACATAAACAGGTAAAATTAAGAAAAAAAGGAGCATTTTTGTTTTAAAAAATGAAAGAAAGCTGCAAGTCAGGGACAATGGTAAATAAATAAAATACTCCCAAAATTATTACAATACACTTACTACATTCCTTGTTACCATAAGGCGAGAAACCTCAGATTGATAAAATATATCTTCTTTGTACATTGGCCTGGAGACCAACTTTTCTGGATATTTGCAGCAACAAATTTTGAACCAAAGTTCTTTTAAAGTCGCTTTCGTTTCAGGCATTTCAATTACTGATGTATATGACAATTTCTTTATTCTTGGTCTCTGAGCAACTGATGAAGCAATGGAATCATGCCTTCTTTCCCTTAAAATAAATATATTAAATAAATACTGTCAATAAATTATAATATAATTTCAAAAATTTAAAATGTAATCAAATTAATATAATTAAAATTATAAATACATATTATTATATTGTCAAAATTGTGATCTGTTGGTTAGCATACTAAACAAATAATTTTACAAAGAGCTTAAACGTATATGTAATTTTTTTTTTAACATGATAACTCAACACATAGACAATCTATTAAAAGAATTATGATTAAAACAGCAAATTAGTTTAAAAGTATTTATATATTTATTAAATTATTTATATATAAACTTAAATGGTTTTTGCTCTAAATATAGTTTGAACAAGTTTAGAAGAGTAAATGTGTATATACTGTGATAAATTTGTGAAATAATGTATATCTGTGTAGAACTAATAGACAATAATTACAATTTTTAGCGTAAGTTAGCACTTAACATTTTACCAATTTATAAAACATTGCTAAATGTTATATTACACTAAGTACATATATGAATACCTTTAAATGTTTACCTCTCCAATCTAAATAAGGACGGGAATGTTGCAGATGGCACTCTCCATATTCAAGAAACTTCTGGGCCTTAACGACCTTTTATTGAACACCCTAAAAAAAGAAATACAAAATTATATTTTGATCGTCTAGATTAAATTATCTATCAGGCAATGCGACTTTGATATAGACAGTGGTAGCTCATGAATAAGGAGAGACCACCAACATACATTACCGTGATAAACCTATATTCTGACAAAAAAAAAATATCAGCATAGTAATTAGATTATTGTTTCTTTTGATTATGACTGAGTGTTAAACCACATGAATGGTAAACTATAAATAATTAACTGATTATTCGGAAATTGTGAGATGCGATCTGGTGTGATGTAGGTTTCAGAAAAACATTTTCTTTATCGTGCTAACGTTTCGATCTTTTATAATTAATTAAGGTTTTTAGTTGAGATAAAAAGTCAATGGCACGAGCGGGATTCAAACCCACGATCTTCGGCTTGATACGCCGCTGCTCTACCACTTGAGCTATCTTGACCTCGATCCACTCGGACACAAACTTCCCATCTCATCCGCACCTTTTGAATTTTCCCTCCTTTGAAAAATGGCAAAAAGGAGGGAAAATTCAAATGGTGCAGTTGAGATGGGAAGTTGGTGTCCGAGTGGATCGAGATCACGATAGCTCAAGTGGTAGAGCAGCGGCGTATCAAGCCGAAGATCGTGGGTTCGAATCCCACTTGTGCCATTGACTTTTTTACCTCAACTAAAAACCTTAATTAATTATAATATATTAATTGGTCAAGCGGACCACGTAATTAGTGAATTTAAGTTTCGATCTTTATCGAGTTCATCTTCAGGACTAAAAGTGTTTGTTTTCTCCGTAATTGTGCCATTCTTGTGTGTCGTGTTGGGCACTCTCAACATGGCATGCAAGAATGGCACAATTACACAAAAAACAAATACTTTGAGCCCTGAAGATGATCTCAATAAAGATCGAAACGTTGGCACGATAAACACAATTAACAATGAAAATATTTAAATCAAAACAAACAAATATAACAGAGCTACCACTGGTATTGACTGTGTTACTTTGATTACTTAACTTTGATATTTTAAACTTTCTAAATAAACTTCTAAATCAAATTACAGTTGAAATTTTTTAAATTATATTGTAATATAATATTATTGTGTGATTTCATACATTCCAGTATAAGGAGCAATATTTTTGACGTTTATAATAGACTGCCGAACACCTTCTGGCTTTTCTTCTGTCAACTCCACTACTACCATGGGCGGCTTCCGAAGGAGAAGTGATAAAAACATTGAAACAGTAAACAATCCTTGAAATATTATACATTTTAATAGTATAAAATGAAATTTTTATTTTATAGTTTTTTTTTATAAACCTCCTTCTATCAAAAAGAGATAATTCCATTTCCAATATTCATGAACATACTCTGAAACAAGTGGTATTATAAGGCAAGAAGCACCAGTTGAACAGCTTGATATTCCCATTGCCAATGTACGTTTTTTCTCAAACCAAAATCCTGGGCAGGTCATGATCGTCATATAAAGGAATGATACACCAATTCCTAAATAAATCAATTTCATAACGTCTCAACATTGTATATGATGCAATTCACATACCTGCTAACACGGAATAACACCCAAAAAGTGCATAAATGTTTTCAAAGAAGTAACAACTTGAAAACGAAGCTGCTGCTAATGATGATCCCAGGAACATCATTGCCCTGAATCCATATCTGTTCACAAGACCACTTGCTATGGGACCTACATTTAAAACAGAATTTCATAAAATGCAGAATTTCCTAATTTTTTTACCCTTTTCATGAAAATTTTGAAAATTACTAATGTTTTTCATTGTTATCTCAAATGATTAAAAATAGTGCTCATCAGAATGAAATGGTTTAATAAAATTTAAAACAATGACTTTAATTAATCTTTATTAGTCCTGAAAAATGAATTCTGAAAATAGAAAGTATTGATGTAATATAATTATCAAAAATAATAATGGTCACATGACCTAACAACAAGGATAATATCTTTTAATAATTTTAAATTTTATAATTGTCATCAATTGTCGTCATTTGTTATGTCTAGAGCCCGGATCTATATGCAATTGCTTATTATTTTTGTTAACGTTTACAAATTATTTAATTTAATTACACCTCTTTGGTACAATAGTTTAAATTTTATTCTGCATATTTTTGCAAATTCAGTGAATATTGCTTAAATTTGCATATTTGAAGAATATTGCAAGATTGATTTTTTGTTAAATAGAGAAATAATAATGAATTAGGCAAGTAAGGACATGTGAGGAAAAAGGTAACATCTTAAAATTTGATTTGCATTTGTTAACTTTTTAGGGATAATGACATACAAACTGATACTTTAGAATTGGGTAAAAATAATCCGTATCTTTTTCAGTTACCCTTTCCAAAACTTCTAGGAGCAGATTTTAGTTTTTGCTAAAAAAAATTCTGAAAGACAGAAAGGGGAAAGAAATAGGAGCCTCAATTGAAACACAAAAATAGTCAGTGTCAATCCTATATTTTGATCCTACCTAGTAAGCCTAAAAAAATGCCAAAGGAATTATATTTAAGCATAATAATAATATTTATAATTATATTAAATATGTATTATTATATTTAAACATAATAATAAATCTTATACATAATAATAATATTAATATTATTAATACTTAAACTTAATAATAATATTAATAAATCTTTTTATGTAAGTTTTGGTTGATATGAAAAAGTTAATGTCACAAGAGGGATTTGAACCCACGACCTTTGGATTCCACGTGGATCGAAGTCACGATAGCTCAAGTGGTTAGAACAGCTGCATATTTAGCCAAAGGCCGTGGGTCCGAATCCCACTCGTGACACTAACTTTTTCATCTCAACCAAGAATTTAGGTACAAATATAATTAATTGAACTGATTGCAAAATAAATTAAAAAGACAACCTTGACAAAAATAATAGATTGACTGAATTGGGAAAATTTATAAAATCTTATTACGAAATAATTATGTTGTTATACATGGAATCGATGGCCAAGTTATTTTTTCTTAGAAGTATACTCCTATCACCCCTGTTGATGTTAAAAACACATATACATATATTTTATAAGTGATCAATACTGTAGTTTGACAGAATGAAACATTGAAATGTATAACGTTGTCCATTTTAATTCATATCATGAGTTTAATTAAGCTTAGTTATTTACTTTATATAACACACTCAAAGACAAAAACTGAACACCCCATATTTTGTTGTTTATTTCAAAATGTATGCATTTATGTATGTATATTAATTACAAATATTTAGTTTAATGTAAACCAAATTAAATGAGATCAGAAATTAATGATTTTTAATTAAAATATTTAATTGTGATGGTTTGAAAGAAAATTCGCCAAAAAATCATTTAGTGATAGAATAAATTGTTAGTTAAATTTTAATGTAACACTAGTTTTTTACTCATACAAGCAAACCACGACTATACATGCACTCAGAGATACACATTTATGTATGTAACAATTTTTACCCCGTTTCCCTTAAAATCAGAACAGGGGGCCCAACAACCCACTTTCGTGCCCCAGAATTATCTTTATGTCAGGTGCCATGCCTACTCGCTCCCTGTAAGGAGCCAAGGCGTGACACTCCTCAACCAATTGTAATTAATAAAAATACATATAGTTTAAAATTAAAAACAAAATACGAGTCTTTTTTTTAGTGTATTTTAAATTATATGCTTTTTTATTGCTTGTGTGTCTAAAATATTTCTGTCCAGTTTCTTTCAAAATAAATATATACTATACCAAAAAAAGTTTAGATTAAAAAGAAATTAGTTAATTATAAAGTCGGGTGATGTTTCTGGCATTCATTTTCGGTATTTTAAAGCAAATTATACAATATATTTGAGGATTTTTTATTGCATATAATATGACATATTTAAAGAATTTTATTGCATATAAATCCGTATTCTAGGTTTATATTATCAAAGATAAGGATTATGGATAATAAAAACAGCATTCAAACACGAAATATCACACTGTAGTACTGATACAAGACAATACAAAAAAATAAATTATAGTTATACAGTTCTTTGTAAAAAGACTAAAAAATTTAATTGTTTCTACAACACAGAATTAATACAGCCGAAAAATTTACGAATAAATATGAACAAAACCAACTTATACAACTTCGCTAAGTTCATGAAATTAAATGTGGTTGTTGGGCTTGACTCCTAATGCTAGAGGAAATTAAAGGCCAAAGAAGAAACACACACACACACACACAAAAATGTTTGTCGTAAAATTGACAAACTTATAAATGTTTGTGCGAATTAACTAGCTCTGGATCCCAGTATGGAAATTAAAACACAGCTGCTAACGATTTACAAGAAACATCAATTTACATACCCATACAATAGAGGAATGCGTTGAAAACGGAAATGAGCCAGGACACCAGGCTGGGAGAGTATCCGAATGACTTGGTGATGTTTGGCGAGATCATGGCAAAACTGAGGGACACTGAATCCATGCAAAAGTTGCCGAAGCAACACGCGAAAATTATTACCCAGCCATAGCCTTTATCCGGTGGGACGGCGACGAGATGAGAGTACCTTTCGGTATCGTCATTGGCCCTCGACTTCTCCACTTTGGTGGATACCATACCAAAATTACTTCAATTTCTTACACTCCTTGTTTCACACTGAACCATGTGTTTGTATGTTCTAAAACTATTTATCATTAAATAGTACTCACAACACCTGTTAACAACGTCTGCTGACTAAACCTCAAAATATATTACAATTTATTTAGACAACAGCCTTAACTAAACACCGATGTTTTTGGGGCGTCGGGGGCCGCAACGGTACCGTTGACACGGCGCTCATCACTGTAAGATAAAGGTCACCGGCACCCCGAGGGTTGATGTAACCTCTGCTCTTCCGAACCCTAGTTAAAAAAAAAAAATGCTTGGGATTAATTCTACCTATTAATCTATTTTGGTTAAATATCTCTCTTGTTTGAAGACAAGTTTTTAATGTTTAAAGAGAGCAGTTTTTAACTGTTGGTATTCTTAGGAGGAGGATTATTTTTTGATTATTCGGAAATCGTGAGTTGCGGTCTGGTGTGACAGGTTTTAGAAAAACATTTTCTTTATCGTGCCAACGTTTCGATCTTTATTGAGATCATCTTCAGTGCTCAAAGTGTTTATTTCCGAGTATATGTGTCATTCTTGTCTGTCGTGTTGAGAGGGCCCACTGGCCTCACTAGATATTGACGTCTTATGTACCGGTATATAAGACAAAGGGACCGGGTTCTAATCCAGCGGGCCTGAATACAATCACAATATACATACGAATGGGCTTTTTGTCATAAATACCGGCACCCAGTAAAATACAAATAAAGAATAAAATGGATGGAATTAAAATGTTAAAACATCAGGGGCTTTAATAATCAGACAGACAGACAGGGAGAGGAGAGAGAGAGAGAGAGAGGAGAGAGAGAGGAGTGAGAGAGGAGAGAGAGAGAGAGAGAGAGAGAGAGAGAGAGAGAGAGAATACTTTATACTGGGGGGAATCCTCTAAGAATAAAAAAAACATGACAAAAATTTTAAAAAAACTCTCTGAGCAATAGAACAGTAATTAAAACTGGTTAAGTATAATAAGTTATAAAAAATAAAAGGAAATAAGTCGGAGGGAGAGAGAGAGAGAGAGAGTGAGAGAGAGAGAGAGAGAGAGAGAGAGAGAGAATATTTTATTCTGGAGGGAATCCTCTAAGAATAAAAAAAACATGACAAAAATTAAAAAAAAAACTCTGAGCAATAGAACAGTAATTAAAACTGGTTAAGTATAATAAGTTATAAAAAATAAAAGGAAAGAAGTGAAAGAGAGAGGGAGGGGGAGTGAGAGAGGGAGAAAGAGAGAGTGAGTGAGAGAATACTTTACTCTGGGGGAATCCTCTAAGAGTAAAAAAAACATGACAAAAATTAAAAAAAAAACGCTCTGAGCAATAGAAGAGTAATTAAAACTGGTTAAGTATAATAAGTTATAAAAAATAAAAGGAAATAAGTGAAAAAGAGAGAGAATTCTTTATTCTGGGGGGAATCCTCTAAGAATAAAAAAAAACTACAAAAATTAAAAAAAAAACACTGAGCAATAGAATATAGAACAGTAATTAAAACTGGTTAAGTATAATAAGTTATAAAAAATAAAAGGAAAGAAGTGAAAGAGAGAGGGAGGGGAGTGAGAGGGGGAGAGAGAGAGTGAGTGAGAGAATACTTTATTCTGGTGGAATCCTCTAAGAATAAAAAAAACATGACAAAAATAATAAAAAAACTGAACAATAGAATATAGAACAGTAATTAAAACTGGTTGTATAATAAGTTATAAAAAATAAAAGGAAATAAGTGAAAGAGAGAGAGGGGGAGAGAGAGGGAGAGAGAGAGAGTGAGAGAGTGAGAGAGAGAGAGAGAGAATACTTTATTCTGAGGGGAATCCTCTAAGAATGACAAAAATTTTTACAAATCTGGCACGAATAAATGAAGGTTTGACGTTAACATCAAGTAAAAAAAGCTGAATTCGCACAATACAAATTATAAAAAAAAGAAACAATAGAAGCAATAATAAGGATTTAGGGAAAAGTAGTTATAATAAAGAATTCTCGGTCTTTTGCCAACATAATCATATACTGTAAACTTAAATTTATTGGCATATGTTTTCATTTGTTATTCCAACAAATTATTCAATTATGATAATGATTATTATTATAATATAGGATATGATTAGTACCAATTTTATCCATCTCGTTGAGATAAGTACTTCAGTTTCGTTTAAACATAATTAAAACAAAAATAAATAAAAAGAATATCCTCAATATATGTGTATTTTTATGTTCAAAGCTTTTCTATTCTGTTTTTCGTCAAAGGTGGATTTGATTAGACATAAATTATACGTTTATTTCTCACTAACATCTTTACAAGTCGTGCTGGATACAGAAGAATGGCCGACAGGATAAGGAAGGAACCGAATATAGTGTAAATCCATGCGTAGGAACCAATCGTGATCTTCAAAAGGACTACAAAGGCAAAAAATGTATGGCGTAACAGTACAAAAATAAAGAAAACAAAATTTAAAAAAAAAAAAAAAAAAAATTTAAAAAAAAAAAAAAAAAAAATCAAACCGGCAAATGCGATCCCGAGGAATGCAGACATACCATCGAAGAAGGAGTAAACGCCCATGACGTTCGTCAAATTATCCAATCCCGCTGCGTTGAAAATAATCGTCAAACGCAAATTGCTCAAACCTTTAATAAACGAAAAAATTAAAACTAATTAAGCGTTAAGAGAAATACGTAAGGACGTCAAAAACCTCCTATGGCGCCTAGCAGGACAGAATAGCAGACGTGATAATAATACTTGTCTGTAAAGTTGCTAGCTATTGAAGCCACTCCTCCAAGAAATAATATATGCGCGTAAAATATTTCTTCCGTAAACATATTAACAAATATCAACAGCATAGATCCCATAAGTTTTCCGAACAAGTTTCCAAATCCAAAAAAGAAATAAAAATATAGAGACGTCCGGAAGGAATATCCCAAGTTGATGGCTCTTTCTAAAACGTCAATTCGTTGAATGTTTTATTTCCAATTAAATTTGAAAATGTATACCTTTAAGCAGGATGTACGGCGTATGAAATCCTATCGTTGAGGTGGACATGACGACCATTATCAACATAATCGATGGACATTTCAAAATCGAAAAATCCCACATTGTAACGAGGACTCTGAAGAAAGCTTCCCTCCTGCATTTCCTTTCTTCCTCTTGCATCAAATCCATGGCTGTTGGCGCTCTGGTCATCCCCATGTGATAATCAAGCTGGGTCTCCTACAACAAAGAACAAAATCGGAATGGTGTACGTTGTCCTCTCTCCAAAGCCATCTGACAATTATTTACCTGTGTCCTGTATTTAGTCAATTTTCCTATGTTCCCCTCGAAGAATATGTCAGTTCTGTAAAAAGGCCGCGCGCCGGACCGCACAACTGATGGGTTCATGACGAGCGTGATGTTCTGATAGCAGAACGGATTTGGCTGGCGTTTCATCGGATAATCTATACAGCTCATTTGATAACGTGAACTGATTGTAGCTTCTATACTAAAAATAATAAAAGCATAGTTCATTAATAACATAGAATCAAATTTCAGATCATTGAATCTATTCATGTTTTGTAAGAAAATTATTCAGAAATCGTGAGATGCGGTCTGGTGTGATGTAGGTTTCAAAAAACATTTTCTTTATCGTGTCAACGTTTCTATCTTTATTGAGATCATCTTCAGGGCCTGGGATTTACAAACATTATTTAAATTTAACAAATACATGTAGGATGTGGAAAAAAGTGAATTTATACAGTGCAAAAAAATATTTTTTTTATTTATTATATTCAATCCAACAAAAGTAGAAATAGAGTAGAAATACTTTGATTGAATATAATAAAAAAAAATATTTTTTTGCATTGTATAAATTCACTTTTTCCAAATCTTACATGTATTTGTTAAATTTAAATAATGTTTGTAAATCCCAGGCCCTGAAGATGATCTCAATAAAGATCGAAACGTTGCCAAGATAAAGAAAATGTTTTTCTGAAACCTACATCACACCAGACCGCATCTCACGATTTCCGAATAATCATCGATTAACGGTCACTAATCACCACACACTTTTGTAAGAAATGTAAAAAAATGAGATTCCACAACATTTATTGAAATTTTGTTGTGTCTGTTTGTAGTGTAATTGCATTCGATCATCAACATTCTACAAAAAACATTTAGGCACGTGGAAATGCAAAAATACCCACCACGAAATATGCAAGAACACATCTGACAAACAAAACCAGCGAAAAATGGCAGACGAGAAAAAACAGACAATTAACTACACGTTAGAATTTTATAATACGGAATATATTTTATAGAATATATAGAATATTTAGAATTTTTTCCAGAAAACATTCACATATACACATTATTTCAGTAAAAACAAAACGAGCATTTTTCCTGCTTGCAAAAGCCTCAGTCCTCAGAAATAAATAAGAATACAGTTTTCTTCGTAGTATTAGTTAATTTACAATTGACTTACGCGTTAAGTCCAACTATGTCTTGAACAGAAGGATAGCATAGATTGTTGTGTACGTTGAATATCTTGTAGGCACAGGATTCCTCGAGCTGATCCAAATTTGAAGCCAGGTAATCGGCTTCTTCGTAATCATGGAACGTAACTTTTTTTGTTCCTGTTTTTCGATGCGATTTAGTTATCTTTATATTCGATCCTGCTATGTTTCCCATGAAGAATGACATTATCAGTAGAGGAATACAGCCCACTGGAAAACAGAACGGAAAATTTTCAATAACTGCCTACGAAGGCGGCATACAAGAATTTACATCCTAAATAAAGAAGAGTGTATTTGATTGGCTCGTTGTAGTCATCCTTCTTTATGATCAGTTCGATCAACCAAGGCGTTATGAGTGTGCCGATCGGCTTTCCCATTGACGAAACAAAATTGACAATCACTCTTTTCCTTGAGAACCAAAGATTCGGAAGGACAAATGCACAACTGTAAATCATACTACTTCCGAGACCTAAAACTTGCGATAAATGTTCTGGTTAATTTCTTATTAAAATACCAAACGAAGATTGTATGCGTTTCAAAAATTACTTACCACCTCCTATGCTAAACAAAAACCCACTTAAGATGCCATCGCCTACAAAAAAACATAGGGTGAAGCTCACGAAAATGATCACTGATCCTATGAAGCTTACTATCCGAAATCCATGACAATTACTTATAGCACTAGCAATTGGAACTGAAAACAAATATTTATTATTCATAAAATTTAACAAAAATTTACCACATCATCTCCATTCAGTCATTAATTTTGCTTGGTGTTTTTTTAATATTGTCTATAATACTACTGTTCAGTAAAAAGGAAAACTTATCATCATAATTTAATCGCTAATGTTGGTAATGTATTAAAGTTGTTGTTATTTGGAATATAATTATAATGATTAAATTGTGAGGAGGACTTACGGGTGAATTAAGTTCCTTAAACCAAATAAAGTAAATAAAACAAAATATTCCCTTTTAAACGTAATAATACCCCTGATATTAATGATAAACAATAAAAATAACAATCCTCGATAAAATGTAACTCAAGTTTAGCAGAGCGCGGAGTAAGATGAGCTCCTCTTTAAACACAAAGAAAAAGGGGGAAAACTAAAAATTATTCCGCCAGGAGTTTTATTAATAATATTTTAAAAACCATTTACATGCTATGTATTAAAATCCTATACCTTCCCCTATCTTTTATTAACCATCCCAATCACCAAATATACAGAAATAATAATACACACTGATNTATATATATATAAATTACGAGGGTTCGCAACATCAGAGGTCATATAAACCCTCAGGGTGCCGGTGTTTTTGAAAAAAAGCCCACTTGTATGTCGGGTTCGAATGCAGGGCCGCTGGATTCGAACCCGGGACCTTTACCTTACAGTGACGAGCGTCGTGTCAATGCCTAAACCGTTGCGGCCACCGACGCCCCCCAAAAACTTAAACTTTAATGTTTTATGTTTATTTATATTTTGTATGTCTGGTTGTAAAAATAAGACATGTAAAAAGAAAATGTGTATTATCTAATTCTAAAAAAAATGATAATAATAATAAACAATTATTTAGCATAGGCGAAATACAGAAAATTAAAAATAAATAAAAATGTAAAAAAATATTGTCCCCTTTAATATTTAGTATTTCCACACCTAGCAGGAATAATGTCCGTTAAACTCCTTTGCATTTCTTGGAAAAGATTTCTGATAAAATCAACGTAATTGTTTCCCATTCGTCAAGAAATCGTTTCTAACGCTTATAGAATGTTTTGACCTAGGATTCGCCATCGTACTGGTCGCTTAAGTTGGTCCCAAATGTGTTCGATTGGATTCAAAACTGGACTTCCAGCTGGCCACACCAAGCACTCAATTCCAACCTCATTCAGGAAGACATCCGCAGCGCGTGCTCTACGGGGCCTGGCATTATCCTGCATTAGCAAGACTCTCTCACCGATGTGGGAGCAAATGGTACTACTTATTCTTCGATTGTTCTGTAAGTACTCGGTGAAGTTAGAGATCTTCCTCGCACAACGACCAATTCGGTGTGGGTTTCCAAGAAAATGCCAGCCCAATACATCAATGACCAACCATAGCAACCTGAGGAACCAAACAGCATGGGGTGTACCTTTTTCCTGAGTGTCTGCATATGAAATTACGCCCAACTCAAAATTTGAGGCCAACTCTCACCTCACTGTTAAGAGAACTTGCTAATTGAAGCCTGGCCATTTTCAGACTTTTGGTAAGAAGAGGTCCGAGAGCCGGGAGCTGGGTCCTGAGGTTATTTACATTGAGTTTATTTTACAGTCCTGGAGGAAATCAAAACATTTCTGACTTCTCTTACCCGATTTCTTAACGCATTTCCCGTAATGCTGCTGTTTTGTAGAACCTGATGACGGATGAATTATCGTCTCTCTGGTCTGAAGACCTAGGTTGACCAAGCCCTATGGCCTTCTAGTGTGAAGTCCTGTTTCTCTAGCGCGGAAGAACCGGAAGAACTATTGTATAGTGATTTACCCTCAGATTCCTCCGACCGACTTCGCGCTGGCTGTATCCTTCCTCTAACCCTGACACTGTCATACTCACTCAAATGTCTGCCTGGAGACATTGAAAAAGGTTACAAAATAAGAATAATATCAAATGAAATCAACAAAAGAAAGAGATTAACGAAAAGAGAATATGAATTCTCTAGGTCCCTAACCCTACTGTTGCTGAGCACTTTCCCACGAAATCCAAAAATGGATCCTTCATGAGTCCAAAACTTCGTGGAGGAACACCCCAGGCAAGAGGCAGGCGAAGAGATTCATATAAGGGCCAGACTTACAAAGGAATTACTGGAAGGAAACTACAACTTAACTGGTTATTCTGGTTGGACTCCTGACAAGGAACTGCCGCTTAAGAAGGCTATACACCGGATAGGTGTACTGACGGAATAAATATTGTGCAGATACTGCCAGGAAGAAGAGGAGACCGAGAACATATTGTATGTTTATGTGAGGGCCTATGGAGGTGTAGATCATTGCAAAATGAAGAGGAAAATCCTCAAGCAAGATCCTATTCTAAGGAACCGCAGACAAGGCTATAGGGGTGATTAATTAAGGTCGTGGTGCGGACTTTGTGCCCGCATCATTTAACCCTCCTTATTTCTAACATTAACATTACAACACAGATCCTCAGATATATCTTTTAATTCTCTAATGTCCACATTAACTTTCAATTATGGTTTCTCGGATATGAACTGGAAAATCGACCTGACCTGACATTTTTTAATGACAATTTATTAATTTGTTATTGAAAAAATCTATCGTGTTGGTTGTTCCGAAGGCTACTGAACTTCCTAGTCAGCCTATTTTCTGGTTTGGTTTATGTAAATAATTACTAAACAATTACGATCAAAACGTGCTACAAGAAGTCATCGGTGCATTTATAGAACTATTTGTGTGAAATGAAATTATGTAAACATTGAATTCACTAGTTTTCGTGGTCCGCTTGACTAATCTTCCAATTAATTAGGGTTTTTAGTTGAGATAAAAAAAAGTCAATGTCACGAGCGGGATTCGAACCCACGACCTTCGGCTAGATATGCCGCTACTCTACCACTTGAGCTATCGTGACCTCGATCCACTCGGACACTAACTTCCCATCTCAACCCCACCTTTTTAATTTTCCCACCTTTTTGCCATTTTTCAAATGTCGCGTAATCTATTTGATTCTCGGCGACAAATGAAATGGCCACGGAGAGCTTTAATGAAGGGGTACTTCATTTTTACTTATTAAATTCACTAGTTTTTGTGGTCTGCTTGACCAATTAATTAAGGTTTTTAGTTGAGATAAAAAGATAAGTAAACATTTTTAAATTACTATTTCTCTTGTTTAGATTTATGTAAATTTTGTTTGTTTTTTAATGAAAATAAACTATACGTATTGTCTACAACTTATCAGACCGTAGAATTATATCAGCTAGTCCAGAGCCGACTTGAGTTAGTCATTAAATAATTAAAGAAACAATATATTCTCCAAATAATCACATGTACACTACTGTCGTTCAAATATAATTGGTACTTTACCAAACATGACTCGAAGCCCGACGAAGATCGCTCCGAAGATGCCGTAAGTTTTGAAATCCACAGTAGCGTAGTAGCAGAGGGCAATCGGGTGGATAAAGCAGTTCTGTAAAAACGCTAAGGTGACGTTGAACCAGGCGAGTAGGCCTCCATCGGGCGGAATAATCACTTTTGTTTTGCACTCCCCCGGGTTGTACTTAGGCATCAAGTTTAAGTATAAGAAAATCTTTTCAACTATCACGATCAAACGAGAGGGCTGCCAGTATACACCCATTGGAGCCAGCCACTAAAACAATTTACCGCACATGGATATGTTTTCCAAACGCAGATGGCAACGAGAGACTAAAATAAAACTATTTTGAAGGGAAATTTTGAATTTTATTTATAAAATATATGTACAGGTATCAAACAACTAGGAACGGTGTAGCGCGTACTGATAAATATCATCTAATGGACATTTAAGCCCGAATTATGACTGTTGTTTTATTGTTTTCTTATTACATAAATTTCACAAAAAAACATATGTTGTCAGATTATTTTTAGAAAATCGAACAAAAAATTTCAATTAGTATACAAAAAATTATATCATATGATATTTTTGTACTTTATTTGCAAACAATAATAATGGCTTTTATTTTAACTAGATCGGATTAAAAACAAAAGTTTATTTATTTAGAAATTCAAGACATATGATGGCAAAATATCGAAACGTGTTTGGCAGACCAAAATGATCGGAAACGACCAAACTTTGCAAATTGCAAATTAATAATAGTCCAAAATTTGCATCGTAGAGCCATGCATCATCTTTCCAGAAATATTGCTTTTTCGTGAAATTTCCCTATAACCAAATTAAGAGACAATCCCATCAGTGAAAATGATCTTTTGTGGTCAAATCAATGTAATTGGGACAAAATATTTTTAAAAAATCCTTATTTTTGGAGGTAGAAAGAAGTATCATGATCAAAGTACTGATCATTAAATAAAATACATAATTTCTATTAAATGGAATGTTCTAATAAGAACCTTTAAAATGTTGTGCTTCACCGGTAGACACGATATCATTTACTAAGTCCCAGGAAGAGAAAAATTAATGAAATGGAGGATATTCAGGAATAAATCTCGCTGACGAAGTGAAAAGTAAAAACGCAGTAGTACTGGTGAAAAAGTCTGAAATCAAAGCGATAGGTGATCAGTAAAACGCCAATTATATAGACGTCGCAATAAAAGAAGAAAATGCTTTTTTCGTTATGATAACGTTTATAAATTAGATAAATTTGATTAGTTTCGATCCATTTAAAGAATTAGTTGATAATAATGCACGGAGAGTATTAACAAGTATTTTTTGCAATGACAATTCCTTTTTTAGCAAAAAAAATTTACTTCGTTATTGTTCTTTGCTGGCTACATTGAATTGATAAGTTTTATCTGCAAGTCAAACTAAATCTCAAAGGAATGAATTAAGAAAAAAATTTTAGATTAAAAACTTACAATATAATTATATGTGTGTGGTGATAAACAGCAAAATCTTACTGGCATTCTCAACACAACACGCAAGAATGGCACAATTACACAGGAGACAAACACTTTGAGTGAGTAGAAATACTTTGATTGAATATAATAAAAAAAAATTATTTTGCATTGTATAAATTCACTTTTCCACATCCTAAATGTATTTGTTAAATGTAAACTATGTTTGTAAATCCCAGGGCCTGAAGATGATCTCAATAAAGATCGAAACGTTGGCACGATAAAGAAAATGTTTTTCTGAAACCTACATCACACCAGACCGCATCTCACGATTTCTGAATAAATATAATTATAATTGCATAATAAATATTGACAACTTAAAGTATTTATTTACTTTTAGTGTGTTGACTTTTTCCTTTTCTTTTCCTGTATAAACTATCACAATATAATTATATAATAAATATTGACAACTTAAAGTATTTATTTTTAGTGTGTTGTCTTTTTCCTTTTCTTTTCCTGTATAAAAAACTTACAATACAATTATAATTGTATAATAAATATTGACAACTTAAAGTATTTTCTTCTACCTTTACTTTTCCCTTTTCTTTTCTATATAAAAAACTAGAATATAATTATAATTGTATAATAAATATTTACAACTTAAAGTATTTTTTCCTGCCTTTACTTTTTCCTTTTCTTTTCTATATAAAAAAACTTACAATACAATTATAATTGTATAATAAATATTGACAACTTAAAGTATTTATTTATTTTCTGTGTTTTTACTTGTTCCTTTTCTTCTCCAATATAAAAACTTACAATATAATTATAATTGTATAAAAAATATTGATAACAAAGTTTTTTTTTCTATTTACTTTTTTGTTTTCCGTATATTTTACTTATTGTCTAAATGTCCAAACTTAAATGTATAATGTAAATATAAAAATGTGAAGATGTAGTGTAGAGTATGTAATGCTTATATATTATAAAGAAAGCAGCACACCTAGGATAAGTTCCGCACTTAGGTTTTCGCCGCATTTCGCCCCCTTTACGTACTTAGAAAGTAGCAGGCGATTTTATGTGATTTTTGTACATAGTAAAAGAATAAAAAAGGTTCCTCATTGTTTTCGTGAAATCTTTAGGCTATGCGGCTAAACATTTATTGTCGGCAAAAGATCAAAGTCGGCATGTCTTTGAAAATTAACGTCCACCCTTTAACACGTAAAGTCCGGTGTTTCCTAGATCCCTTGAAAAGCTGTACATGGTAAAACTGCTAACCAATAATAAATATAAACATATATGTATACATATTTATATTAAATGCATGTTTGTAAAATGTAGTTACATCAGCAGACCAGGGCACATATAGTTTCAACAGGTTCATTAAAAAATTATTACACTAAGAATTGTACAACTTCCATTGTTTATTATGTCTAAAATAAATAAATAAATTATGCTTGTGTTGTTTACATATAGAACATAAAATATATAATATATACATATGTAGTACAGAATATATACAAAAGACAATGTTTACTATATATATTGTGTGGTTTGTATGATGTAGAATGCAATTTATTAGCGCGAATGGAGAGGCTTCTTCTCCTATTACCACGATTAATATGGATTACTCAGGGCTAACCTAACTTATATTTTAAATGGATATTTTTATTCTATGTGTTACTTTTTGTTATATATATTTTTATCCTTAACCGAAGAGAGCCTGAGGTAAAGAGTGGCTGGTAATAGGGTGTGAATACTTGGCTGCATCATCACAAAAATGGATTATATAGGAATAAAATGTAAGAAGAAAAGGAAGATAATGGCAAAAAAAGAAGAGGTTGCCGGTCCTAAAACTATTGTCAATATGTATTTTTTAAAAATTGTGAGTTAAAGTTCAATTTATTGCTAGTAAACAAACAAGCGAGCAGTTTTTTTTAAAAGAGAACATTTTCAATTTTTAAATTCAAATAAATATACCCACCAAGTTTTAGCTTTAAGCACCAAGCTTTAAGTAGCTGTTGAAATCTAGTTTGTGAGCATAAGGCATTAATTTTTTCAAAAATTATCTGGATCTCGATATAGTCTGAATAAAATATAAAAAATTTTTAAAAAATAGTTGTTATCTGCCAAGCTTTCGGCCTATTTTAAAGTTATCAGCAGGGAAAACCAATCAACAAATAGATGTAATCGAGTTTTCAACAAATGGTTTCAAATTTCTTTAGAGATAGACACAGTGGAAGAAAATTCACAGAAATTTGAAACCATTTGTTAAAAAATAGAATATGTAAATTTGAAGACATCTTTACAATTATTTTGCCCCGACGATGAGCTAACAAACATGAAAACTTGATAGATAATAATTTAATTGAAATGATAAATGATGGAGTGAGTGTGGAGTTCAATCCTTTTTAAAAAGATAGTTCCTACTCTCAGTAAGCTGTTTTACGGATTTCGAGCCCTTTAGCTCATCATCAGGTTGAAGGACTTCTTCATAATTTGTCTAAATAATTTAATTTGTTTTAGTTTTTTCATTCAGACTATACCAAGATACAAAGGTTATTCGTGAGTGAAAAAGTGGTCGACACATCTAAAACTATTTTCTTGTAAAAGTGTTGTAAGTAACTACAATATCACATCAGAAATTTCAATCGATTTGCATTTGGTTTTTTATTGTTGATTATTTGATTCAAATATATTATTAATTTTTATTAGGATGAAATTGGCTGATTTAGCTATTTTACCCATTTGTTTGCTGATTTTGCTCTTATTCTGCAGATGCTAGAAAAATAAGATTGTGAATCAAGTCGCAAAAAATATATCCCTAATGTTTTCTTATTAAAGAATAACAATTTAAAGGCTTAAATGTTTTTTTAATGTGTATATTTGTATTGTAATAATAATGTGTTAGAATTTAAAAGGGAGAAGTATAATAAAATGGTGGTCGCTCCACTCCTTTGACACCATCAGGTATGGTTTTGACTTAAAGCCCTGCTATAAATTTGAGTTAAACCACCCCGAAACTGGTGGGGTGAGCAGATATATATACAGCTTTTGAGTGGAAATTCTCTCACTTTTCTGTAATTTTACGATTTCGTGTAATGGCAAAGTGTAATTGCTTGAAAAAAAAACTTCACCCGATCAAGTAAGTACAATCTTTTAATTTGTATCTCTGCACGGTATTAACTTTTATTTTTAAAATACAAGGATGCCTGTCAAGGAGAAAATAATCCCCGATGAAATTTTCGGCATTAAAGCAATAACACCAGCACCAGAAATGGAAGGTAAATTTTAAATAAATATTGTGTTTTTATGTAGTAATTTTTTTTTTAATTGCAGGAATTTTAGATTGGTTGAAGTTCACAAGAATTCATAAATACTGGGCTTTTTTCTCTCATTTGAGCTACGAAGCCCTGATCACGTTGAATGACGAAAATCTCGATCTATATTTGCGTGAGTTAGGAGCCCGACAGAGCTTTATGGTCGGGACGAGGAAGAAAATTTTGAAATCGATCGAGGAATTGAGAAATAGGACCCAACAGCTAAGAGACTTGGACCCTTTTGATGTCGAATTTTCTTGCTATGTCATATCGACAATTCTCAAAACGCCGATTTGCGACTATATCAAAGAAGTTGACGGCACTTACATCACAGGACTTTTGAAAGAAAAAATTACACAAGGTGAGACAACGTCCACAATATAAAAAATACGATTTTTGTCAATGTGTGATTATTAGTGACCGTTAGTCGATAATTATTAAGATCATCTTCAGGGCTCAAAGCGTTTTATTTTCTGCGTAAGTGCCCATTCTTGTGTGTCGTGTTGAGAGTGGGCAAGAATGGGCACTTACGCCGAAAACAAAACGCTTTGAGCCCTGAAGATGATCTTAATAAAGATCGAAACGTTGGTACGATAAAGAAAATGTTTTTCTGCAACCTACATCACACCAGACCGCATCTCACAATTTTTGTCAATATTTTGTGATTTTTAGTCGTCGATGCTGCTCGGAAAAGAGGAGAGTGGTCCATATTTATAAAAGCCATGCTTGAAGAGTACGTCGAACACAAATCCATTCCGGACTTTGACAAAATGTGTGCCAAGCAGTGGTTGAAATACATCCAGTTCGATTTTCTCCCTACACCTGACTTAAGGCATGTATTTTTAATCTAATTAAATTAAATTACATTAATTTAAATTTATTTTTATAGTTTGGGATATGATCAACGGGCCAAAGAAAAGCCTAGTATAATGATGTTGGCAAAATTGGCCAATGCCAAGAAACAAGACTACAACAACAACTACTTCAATTAACCCCGCATCGGTATTTGACCAAGAATAGATTTGTTGATAATGTAACTATAATGATTTATCATTGAAATGGATTAAATGAAAAATTCACTATTTTGTTCTACTTATACTAAAAAACGACTATATTAAATGTAGTGTTAATAATTCAAAGTGTATTTAATATACTTTAATTTTTGTTCTTGACGTTTTTAAAAAAATGAAAATTTAATAATAATCGTGAATATGAGGTATTAACAATAATTTCAAAAATTTAACAACTGTATTCTCTTTTATATCTGTCACATTTAAAAACTATTTTTTATGTAATTAATTTGATATTGTATTTTGAACTTAATGCTTATGTATTATTTTGAATAATTGGAATACGGATTACCTACATGTATAAATAAAGTACCAATTTTAAACATATTTTTATTAACGCTCCTCACGACTCCAACAAATTATTAAACAACCGGTCAATAAAAAACACAATTTTTAATGTGTGGTGATTAGTGACCGTTAGTCGATGATTATTCGGAAATCGTGAGATGCGGTCTGGTGTGATGTAGGTTTCAGAAAAACATTTTCTTTATTGTGCCAACGTTTCGATCTTCATTGAGATCGTCATCAGGGCCTGGGATTTACAAGCATTGTTTAAATTTAACGAATACATGTAGGATGTGGAAAAAATTGACAATTTTTAATTATGACATATTCACAAATGAGAATGCACTTACCACTACTACGCAGATTATACCACCAAATTAAGAAGTCCCTACTCTTCTACACAAGCTTCGATTATGTTAGAAAACCTCATGTCAATAATAGTAAAATCGATCAATTTTTTTGAAAATAAAACCTTAATAAACCCCTCAAAGTCACAACACATCACCTTTACAATCAGCCGAGAGCCTAATTCTATGATAAACCTACTCCTCAGTCTGACGAGGTTACCTATTTAGGACTTACATTTGATAGACGACTAACTTGGGCTCGGCACACACGATAAAAAAATTTAAAGACACTTAACAAACGATTTGAAATGCTTTTCTACCTACAGTGCCATCACTCAAAATTACAATTAAAATCACAAATTTTGAAATATACATACTTACTCAAAGTATACTCTTTATTACAACACATATACAGATGTATGGTTGAGTGTAGTATCGGCCTTCATGATAAATATTAAAGTGTTATGATTAGTGACCGTTAATCGATAATTATTCAGAAATCGTGAGATGCGGTCTGGTGTGATACACTCAGAAACACATTTTCTTTAACGTGCCAACGTTTCGATCTTTATTGAGATCATCTTCAGGGCCTGGGATGTTTTTCTGAAACCTACATCACACCGCATCTCACGATTTTTCAATATTTATTAAAAACCTATTATACGGATAAATCCTAGGCTAGTAAATACAACAAGACTTTTGATTCAATAAGTTTCTACTTAAATTCAATAAAATCTTTTAAATTTTTAATCATTTTTTCATGTGAAGCCAGTAAGAACTGGCTCTAACTCGGAAATTAAGCAAAATTAACTTCATGCAATAGCAAAAAGGAGGGAAATTTCAAATGGTGAGGTTGAGATGGGAAGTTAGTGTCCGAGTGGATCTGAGCCACGCTAGCTCAAGTGGTACAGCAGCAGCGTATTTAGCCGAAGAACGTGGGTTCAAATCCAGCTTGTGACGCTAACTTTATCTCTCTCAAGATTACTTAATTGAAAAGAATTTATTTGGTCAAGCGGACAATGATTATAACATTAAACAACATGGAACATGAAGTCAAGTACTTCATTTGAATATCGTTTCAGGACCGTTAGAAAAGCTTAAAAAATCACCTAGACCATTACTTTTATAAGTTAGAAATTATGAATTAATTCATTATAAAATATGATGTTATTGAAGTTGGTCGCATTTTAATAAGTTAGCAAGATCGTCGGTTGTGATATTAACATAAATGAAAAAATAGGCTTATATAACTTCTTGATAGTATCAATTTATTTGTAAACAGTACATAAATGTACATAAGTATATCTTAAAAACAGTCTCCCGTTAAAAATATGGTTTTAATGATAAGGAGAATGAACTATTTATAACAAATGGGGAAATAAGGAACACAAATATTTAACCCTTAAACCACCCTCCTATTTTATTTGAATTAAGGACGAGAACTTGTTAGAATAGTAAATAAAACTTGTTAAGGAAATGTTAATAATATTTAATTTATAAAATAACAATCTATATTTACAAAAGTAAAACTATTTTATACTAATAGTTTATCACAATGTATATAAATAAATTTTCTATGTATGTACAATAATCTGTGTCAATAATAGCAAAGAATAACTAAGATTGGATCTGAAGATGAATCTTCTGTTTTCTCAAGCAGTTCGTCTTCTATAAAAGAAAAATAAAGTATTAAGCCGTGTACAACACAAATGGAACAATTTACGAACTTACCCATACTTTCGACGTTGGAAGAAATCCAACTTGATGCCGTTTAGCCAACTTTTAGCGCAGATTTTGTCATATTCATGCACGGACTTGCACTCGATGTATTCTCTCAGAAGAGCTGCGACGGAATTGACGGATGATCCTGTTTTCTTGCAAACATCAACAACTACAAAATAAACACGTGTTTATTAGTAAAAAGTTAATAGTTTCGAAATATTAATATTTTTTTTTAAATTACCTAGTGTTATTTTTTCCATTATGAGACCGGTGAGAAAGGTTCCGTCTTCTTCCATGTCACTGTCCGATATGGGCGTTTTTAAGACGGATGATATCGTTCTACATGACTTTTCCACGTCCAAATGGTCTATGACTTTGATTTGAGAACTTCTAGATCTCAATTCTTCCAAAGACTTTAGAATTTTCCTTCTAGCTCCTTGGCAAAACGTGCCCTGAGCACCGAGAGCGTTCATGTACCAATCTAGGTTTTCGTCCCTCAATGAAATCATTTCCGTATACGTCAAATTGCTGAAGAAAGGCCAGTATTTGTGAATGCACTTCGACATGAGCCAGTCCAACATTCCTAAAACACAAAATATCCAATTATTAATAAATTATAAAGGCTGGAATAATTAATTTAAAAGAAAGTGTTTTTGTTAATTTACCTTCCATACCAGGCATAGGCGGTGAAGCTTTGATACCAAAAATAACATTGGGTATAGTTTTTGTCTTTTGGCTGAAATGCCTGGATAAAAATATAAATGCCAAGTTAATTCAACATGCAGATCTTATTTAATCTATACATTAAAATAAAAATTTTAACAACTTACAAGACTTTCAGAGTCTTCTTGCAGCGAACGTTTATACGGCAGGTGTTGACCATTTTGAAGGAGGTTCAGAATGAAAGTGTAGCGCGAAATGTGGGACGGCCCTATTTATATACCACCCGCGCTACCTGCTGACCCGCCCCTTCCTACCATTTTCTGAATTTATAATTGTTTATATTATTTTATGTTGATATTATATTCATTATTATTGTTATTATATTGTTAAATATCATCATTATATAATTCATGCCCAAACAAATTGTAAATTTAAACAAACTGGTAATAATAATTTATTTATTTGTTAATAGATGACGTTTCCACTGGTAATAATTTTTTCATTAATAGATAATATACTTTTTTCATGATTTATTTAAGTTATTCGTAATGCGATTCTTTACAAGTTCAAAGATTTTTTCTGTGTTTTGATTTACTACTTTGCTACGTGATGAAAAAATAACAACGTCTGTACTCCAAACATGACCGACAGCCCCTCCGAATAACATTCCCTGTAATGAGGATTTTATTTATTCAGTCTNAGATTTACCGTATTATTTTTGATATCCAATATTTATTTGGAGATGGTGAGATGATGTTATTACATCTGACAGACGTACGTGGTTTACCATTATTTTCCGAGACATAATGAATATGTTTAAAAAAACGGTCAGAAATAATTAAAATTTCAATAAAGGGTAGAGAAAATTATATACAAATACAGGGACGTTTGAAAAGGCTTTGCAACAGAACAAAACATGAGGAACATCAAAGACGCCGACAAGTAAAATATGTAACCCCTGGTGACCCCCGGACCGGCAAAGGACGCCGATAATAACCACCCCTTATCTTTCATACCTTTCTTTTCTCTAAGAAATTAAATTATTATTGTTTAATTACATTCAATGTCTAATTATGTTTAGTATGTTAATCGCTTCAGTCAAGACGATGCTCCAAAATTTATTCAACACGCAACACGATCAAATTCAACATTTATGGAACAGCATACCCTACAAACATTCTTCGTTTCTTTTACAAGATTTCGAAGATTGCCATAAATACACAATATCAATTTTTAAAAAAGTTGAAAAATTAACTTTTCCTTTTTCAAATGATAACCTATATCCATTTTCATTTGCAGATTAATCACGTCAATTCCATTGGTGTGATGTAGGTGTAGAAGAACATTTTCTTTATCGTGCCAACATTTCAACCTTTATTGATATTTTGTTCAGGGCCTTGGATTTATAAACATAGTCATATCTTGTGTGTTACAGTTTCTTTTTGATTCAACAAGACGGGCCCAACATTGTATCCTTTTTGTTAGGAACAGGGCACCAGAGTTCTTGCTCGAACCTGAATACAAACTTGTCAGGTGCCTTTTTATAAAAGAATTTAATTCAAGCTTTAAAACAATTCATTAATTACGCAATAAAATAACAGTTAACAAAAGTAAAATTTACTTTTTAGATTTTAAACAAACAATTAAATTTTTTAACTGTAAATAAACAGAAATTTCAAGCAAACCGTTTGCCAGACCATTTGAAACAAGGGTGGATGGGTACTCGCTATTTACCGAAGCACTCTTTTTTAGGGATTTCAGCTCTTTTTAAATTCGTTTCTGGATCGCACACTTCTTTCTGTCTCTCATCTACACGGAATTGAACTCGTTCCCTTCTAGCCTCGCTGTTTCTACCCTAATTGTGGAGATCCTCCGTTATTTTTTACATTAGGCCTAATCATGAAATCTAAATCACACCATTGTCACTATGAAATAAATTGAAATGTGACATATGTATGTATCTAATTTAAGCAATGTTTTATTTCTCAGGCCTGGAAGATGATCCCAAAAATGATCAAAACGTTGGCACGAAAAGGAAAATGTTTTTCTAAACCTACATCACACTTGATCCCACCTTACGATCTCCAAATGATCAGTAGATGTCAAAAATAATCCATTAAATCGAGTGCTGCAAAAAAGAAATTCGTTATTGCGTTTAAGTATAAAAAGAATTTTTGTTGTTTGTACACAATGTCACAAATATTTACATTAATTTAAAAGAAATTAGGTGGCTCAGGTAAATGTAGATATCCAATAGGTCATTTACATTTACGTATTGTATTTACATTACAACGGTCACATATTATCTTGTATTCTATTTTTATATATTTCAGTTGGTTTTAAGTTCTTTACTATAGATATCGACGTGGATTTCTAAAACTATTGTTCTAGAAAAATATATTCTAGAAAATACGGATAAGTCACAATATGTTATTCTCATGATGCCGAACAAGTCATTTGTGGGAAAAAATCATTTACATATTATATTAAGGCCAAATGCAGAATTTAGTTCCCTTTAATTTGTGAGATTTTCTCTCAAGAATATCAGAGTATGAACCTATATCTTCGTTCTTTTTGGACATTTTTGTATGTCTATCATCGCTATTTTACTTTTATTTAAATACACAAGAAAGAAATGCATAAACCAACCACGAACAAAACTGCGAGTAAAGGCAGATTCGAAAACCTCTAACCCTGAAATAGTCAAAATAGTTTATAAATATTTTTTTTAAAACTCAATGAGCTGTATTTTCTGAAGCAACCAATAATTGCGCTGTTTGAAAGACCCGAATAAATAAAATCCTCATCATAGGGAATTATTCGGAGGGTTTTTGTTCATATTTGGAGTACAGAGGTCATTATTTTTACATCACGTAACAAAGTAGTAAATTAAAACACAGAAAAATTATATTATTATTATTATTTGTTTTATATTATACGTATTATTTTTGATATCTAATGATTATTTGCAGATCGTGAGATGGGGTCAGATGTGATGTAGGTTTAGAAAAACATTTTCCTTTTGGTGCCAACGTTTCGATCTTTTTTGAGTTCATCTTCAGGGCTCAAAGTGATTCTTTGTAGATGTGTCAGTCATGTATGTCGTGTTGAGAGTATCCAATTGCCGATTGTTTAAATTATATAAATACATATAAGATATGACTATGTTTATAAATCCAAGGCCATGAAAATGATCTCAATAAAGGTTGAACTGTTGACACGATAAAGAAAATGTTTTTCTAAACTTACATCACATCAGACAGCATCTCACGATTTCTAAATAATCATTACTTAACGATCACTAAATATTATACGTTCGAAATCTAAATGTATGAATTTTTCCGAACGGATTTCTAAATTATTTTTGTCATTCCTTTCATAAATTGGAATTGACGTGATTATCTGCAAATGTAGAAGTACAGAGGTTATCATTTGAAAAAGGAAAAGTTAATTTTTTAATTATTCAAAAATCGTGAGATGCGGTCTGGTATGATGTAAGTTTCAGAAAAACATTTTCTTTATCGTGCCAACGTTCGATCTTTATTGAGATCATCTTCAGGGCCTGGGATTTACAAACATTGTTTACATTTAACAAATACATTTGGGATGGGGAAAAGTGAATTTATACAATGCAAAATATATTTTTTATATTCAATCAAGGTATTTCATTTTTTATTAATTTTTAACTTTTTAAAAAATTGATATTGTGTAATTATGGCAATCTTCGAAATCTTGTAAAACAAACGAAGAATGTTTGTAAGGTATGCTGTCCCATAAATGTTGAATTTGGTAGTGTTGCGTGTTGAATAAATTTTGAAGCTTCGTCTTGACTGAAGCAATTAACATGCTAAACTTAATTAGACTTTGAATGTAATTAAATAATAATTTAATTTCTTAGAGAAAAGAAAGGTATGAAAGATCAGGGGTGGTTATTATCGGCGTCCTTTGCCGGTACTGGAGGTCACCAGGGGTTACATATTTTACTTTTCGGCGTCTTTGATGTTCCTCATGTTTTGTTCTGTTGCAAGGCCTTTTCAAACGTCCCCGTATTTGTACAATATATAATTTTCTCTACCCTTTATTGAAATTTTAATTATTTCTGACCTTTTTTAAACATATTCATTATGTCTCGGAAAATGATGGTAAACCGCGTACGTTTGTCTGTCAGATATAATAACTAGATCTCACCTGACCGCATTTCACCTGACCGCACATCACCATCTCCAAATAATCAATAGATATCAAAAATAATACGTTAAATCTAGTGCTGCACAAAAAAAAAACTTTGTTATTGGGTTTAAGTATACAAAGAATTGTTGTTGTTTGTACATAATATCACAAATATTTACATGAATTTAGAAATCGTGAAATGCGGTCTGGTGTGATGTGGGTTTCAGAAAAACATTTTCTTTATCGTGCCAACATTTTAACCTTTATTGGGATCATTTTCAAGGCCTTGGATATATAAACATAGTCAAATCTTATATGTGTTTATATAATTTAAACAATTGGCAATTGGGCACTCTCAACACGACACACAAGAATGACACATCTACAAAAAAAAACACTTTGAGCTCTGAAGTATCATCTCGCGACCTCCAAATAGTCATATTTAAATGAATTTAAAAAGAAAATAGGTTGCTAAAGTAAATTTCGACATCAGATCAGAAATCAATTAGATAATACATTTACATTACAACGTTTACATATTATATTGTATTATATTTTTACTGTTTCAGTTAGTGTTAAGTATTTTACTAGAGATAGTGATGTGCATTCCTAAAACTATTGTTCTGTNTTTTTACTAATAAACACGTGTTTATTTTGTAGTTGTTGATGTTTGCAAGAAAACAGGATCATCCGTCAATTCCGTCGCAGCTCTTCTGAGAGAATACATCGAGTGCAAGTCCGTGCATGAATATGACAAAATCTGCGCTAAAAGTTGGCTAAACGGCATCAAGTTGGATTTCTTCCAACGTCGAAAGTATGGGTAAGTTCGTAAATTGTTCCATTTGTGTTGTACACGGCTTAATACTTTATTTTTCTTTTATAGAAGACGAACTGCTTGAGAAAACAGAAGATTCATCTTCAGATCCAATCTTAGTTATTCTTTGCTATTATTGACACAGATTATTGTACATACATAGAAAATTTATTTATATACGTTGTGATAAACTATTAGTATAAAATAGTTTTACTTTTGTAAATATAGATTGTTATTCTATAAATTAAATATTATTAACA